GTGCATCAAGGGAATGGACACGTGTACTATCCAGAACGCCCGAAGGTTTGTAATCGTGGCTGTGTTGACATATATGTTCACACCTGATCAATTCTGTCTCGGAGGGTTCATTTCTCATTTGCCGTCTTCAATCCGGTGCTCTGCAGGGCAAAGTTGATGAATGGGCAGAGTTCCCAGTTCCCGTGAAGGGAAAAGGCCCCTTGGTCTGCATGCAGCCTGCGTGTTGCAGGGGAACACACTTGGAACCCTGGTCTGGAGTATTTGACCTTGTTCTAAGGGTCCACCTTTGCCATATGATGCCTCCCACTAATGATAAAGATTTGTCGAATTGAAAATTCAGTGGGGTCCACCCCCGCGGCAAACACAACTGGTCAAAATGCCAAGGCAAACAACTCTGCTATCTTTCGAGGCAAGTTTAGGCATTTGATTCTGCAAGCCGAAGCTGCAAGGCGTGACACATGAATTGTGACATTTGAGTTTGCGTCAGTGTCAGAGCGGCCTTTCCAATGACTCAAATATGGTATATGATGCTCATTCTGTTTACATCTTGGAGTCCGTTTGCTTGAAGACCTCACTGATGCATACCACCTCCGATCACTACTTCAGACATTTGCAAGCAGCTGTCTTACACATAGGGAGGCGCTGACTTTGGCCTTGGAACAGGATTTCGCGCAAAGCCAACCCGGGCTACAGCCTCGGGCCATGGCTCGAAACTAAGGACTTCAGGCGCTCGAGCGCTCATGAAGCATACATGAATCACCAACAGGTTCCCATGACAGCAAAGTGACTTAAACCGATTGATCCGATCTGTTGTCAGCGACACCTTTGATTTCTGGACGCCAAAGGGCTTTCAACTTGATTTGGAAATGCACATCTAAGTGTGACATTGCTGCAAACGCACATTGCATGCGGGGGTTCGCACTGTGGGTTTAGTTTGGTTTATCCGCTTTCTTACCACATGCTCGATGACATTGGAATTGCTACATGAAGCCAAAAGGACAGCGCTACATTTTAGGGGTTCTCGCATATTGGGAGACATGGACGTGCCCAGTCAGACTAGACACACGATGAACATGGCGCTGAGGCAAAGGAAAAGGTGAGCCCAAGAAGGGAAAGGGAAAAGGAAAGGGCAGCGCCCTCAGCATCCGACGTCAGGTTAAGATAAGGCCGACGTGAGGCGGTTCAGTGGGAAGGGGGGGGCTATTGTGAGGCTGGATGTGGCCCGATTGAGAAAACACTGCTTCAGTGGCATCAAGCACGCCAATGCAGTGTCCTTGGCATGTTCGGCCAAGGTGCGTCGTCCGCCCAGGACTTGCCTCAAACCAATGCCCCAAAAGGCATGCGGCCCAAGCTGAAGCCAGACCTCTTGCTGGAAACCTCCCGCCACAAAATAAAGACACAGTGAGAAGCGGAGTTGGGCCTAGACTAATGGGCTCTGAAACTGTTCTGGTTCCATCGCTTCCATGGACCGAGCGTTTGGGATTCGAGGGGTTCGATGTGCTCCAAAAAATCGATTCCCTGCTGGAGGAGCTGCTGGAGCCCTTTAACGGCCCGTGCCTGAAGGCAACGAAGGCACGATTGAGAAAACGCGCTCGAAAACGGTTTCCTCAGCACCGTCTACCATTCTCCTTGTTCAATGCAAATGCGGACGTGGTTGCTTTTCGACTGGGGTCTTTCAAGCCCCTCACTTAGCTCGAACAAACATGATGTCGTTTCTTACAATGGACCCAGACACAAAACCGAGAAACACCCCCAAAGCCAACGCGCACGAGAGATGGTAAGCAGGGGTGAGAGCGCATTGGAGTTAAGGGGGAGGGGGGGGGGGGGGTGAGGAGGAAACACACGGCAAGCAGAAAGAAGCCTGAAGAATATCGTTGTCAAAGAGAGTGTTCGATTGTTTTGCAAGTGTCTGCCAAGCCGTTAACAGTCCGCCAGATCCATAGGAAAGAATGGTAAGGGTACAGTTTGGCGTGCAATGTTTGGCTCTTAGATCCTGGGCTTCTCCTTGCCAACGGGCATGCTGGATTCATTCACAGGGTTTCCACTAAAATGATCATCCCCTAAACAAGTTTTCTTCTTCCTACGGTGGTGGCTAAGTATTTGGGTTTGGCTCATGCTTCCCTAGTCGCTGCAGAAAAACCGCGGCTTTGGCAGCCCTGTCTAAATGGAAATTGTCGTCGGTAGCCATTTCGCCGTGCCAGGGGGAAGGCAAGGGTAAGCACATCTGGGATGCGCACGAACTGAAGGAGCTGCTCGATCTCATGCTTGACCCTGACCCCCTGGTTTCTAGTGGGCAGTTGGGTGGAGCCTGCAGGATTGGGGTTTTGTTTGGTGTGTGCGCGTGTGCAAACTTATCATGATGTCATCTCAAATTGCAGTGCGTCTTGTCTTGTGTTTGAATGGAACCACAGGTTTTACAAGACGTATGTGACTACATGAGTTGGACCAACTAGTTTGACCGCGGCTCTGCATATGTGGTGGAGCGTCGCAGTGCGCGAATTGACTGATGAGATATGATGAGAACTCCCAGTCATATGTTTCCTGGCTTCGGGCAGTGTAGATCTTGAACGCGCCGGGTACAGGACAAGCAGATGCGGGCGAAAGCAAAGGCGCGACTCTTGCCGGCGCGACTGTTGCTGGCGCGCGCCCACACACACACAGACACACTTAGTTCTATTCTAAGGCGAAGCCTTGAAGTTAGGGCCCCTCTCCCCATGCTGGGACACGAAACTCAGATTTGTTGACAAGTTGCGCAAGTCGGCTTAGCAAGATTCTGGCACAGGAAAAAAGGTTAGTTTGCCATGGCCAAAGCTAGGCCACTTCAGCCATCGTTTGGCCCACTTCAAGATGTCAAAGGCTGATTGCCGGTGGCGCCATGGCTGAAGCCTCAAAGGGCCCAGCGAGTCCTTCCCGGTCCAGCCGGTCAAGGAGTCGGTCTTCCCGACATGTTTCCTCCCGGTCCCAGTCAAGCCGGTCAAGGAGTTTTTCCCAGAGCGTTTCCTCTCGGTCGAGCCGAAGATGTTCTTCGCGGTCAAGCCGCTCCAGCTCCCGCGGGGTGACCCCGGCCCGCTCCGGGACAACAAAGAGAGCGACAATATCCACACACCCGGCAGTTCCCAGCGGACCAAGACCAAGCGCAGGTATGCCTTTGCCGGAAAGCAAAGCTCAAAAACAGAAGGCAAGAAGACAAAGACAGAAGGCAATAAGACAGGAGGCAGAAAGACAGAAGGCAAAAGCATTGCCAGGCACGGCGCCTTCGGCGCCGCGACCCAGCGTTGATAAGTTTGACCTCGACAAGCTGGGGCGTTCCCACATGCAGACCGTTTCACATTTCATGTCGTGCGGGGCTTAGTTGTGCCAGGTTTGCTTCTGTCCAAGTGAGCGTACTCCTGGCTAGCTGGTTGGCTCGCTTAATGGTTAGCATTTGATCGGCTGAAACTTTGTTTTAGGATACATCAGACCATCGTTGGTTCTGAGTCGGAGAACCGTAAACCCAGGCGCATAGTGGGAGCCAGAAGTGCTCGCGGGCTGCAAGATTTAGGGATCTCCTACGGCACGGAGAAGGTTGAAGGCGGGATACAGTGTACGCTGACATGCACAGCCGCAGACAGGGGAGGAGTGTCATATTCGTGGAGCGGCAAGAAGTTCAAAGGTGAGATTCTCGACAAGAAGCGTTTGGCCCAGCATTCCGCGGCCAGCCAGTTCATCAACGACCCGGATGTTCGGGCGACTGCTGCTTATATTGAGCCATCCAGAAAGAAGCTTTTTCACGAAGAGCAGAAATTCCACTGGAAGCGCAGTGCCGTACTGAAGCGCTTGGGCTTTGGCAAAGCCAACGCCCCACACCCGATCACGGGAAAAGAAAAAAAGATGCTCGAGGGAGTTTCTGTAATACTGTAGTACGAATGACACGTTGCCCAGTCACGGTAGCTGGCTGATCTGAGCTGGCGGCATCGGCGGGCCTTTGCGCCAGCCGAAGCTCCTGAAAGTTCTTTTGAGCCAGTCTTCAACTCTGTCTCCAAGGCGAGGTTCCGGGCTCCTGCGCACGCAAGGACAAGTCATATATAACACAGAATGAAACGTGTGACCGTTATCTTTGTCATTCTTTCTCCTTGATTTTCCTTTCATTGCCGGAAAGTTTCTTGTCTTTCTGGTTTTTGTAATTAATGTTCCTTTGTTCCTTTACTTTTATTGCTTTCTGTATCTGTCTCTGTCAAAGGGAAACAAAGAAGAAGAGTCCCCAAATCTTGAGACACAACCACTGCTGGTGCACCTAGAGCCTACAAACCCTGGGGCAGTTCAACATGCGCCTAGCGCAGTTCCAGCATATGTAGTATGGGTAGTAGGTGTTGACACATATCTCAAGCGCGCTTCTACCCCAGTTACAGCATAGTCCTGGCATAGCCCTAGAATGGCTCGAACAGATTTCTGGCACCTGCCTGGCTCGTGTCTGGCATGTGATCGACAGTGGTTGCTTTTCGACTGGGGTCTTTCAAGCCCCTCACTTAGCTCGAACAAACATGATGTCGTTTCTTACAATGGACCCGACACAAAACCGGGAAACACCCCCAAGGCCAACACGCACGAGAGATGGCAAGCAGGGGTGAGAGCGCATTGGAGTTAAGGGGGAAGGGAGGGGGGAGAGAAGGAAACACACGGCAAGCAGAAGCCTGAAGAATATCAAGTCGTTAGCAGTCCGCCAGATCCAAAGGAAAGAATAGTAATGGTACAGTTTGGCACGCAATCTTTGGTCTTTAGATCCTGCGCTTCTCCTTGTAAGCGGGCATGCTGGATTCATTCACAGAGTTCCCACTAAACTGATCATCCCCCAAAAAGTTTTTCTTTTGCCATTTTTGCCTGCAATGGTGGCTGAGCATGTGGGTTTGGCGCATGCTTCCCCAATTGCCGCAGACAAAACCATAATTTCTTCAAGTGGGCAGTTGGGGGGAGCACGCAGGGGTGGGTAGTGTGTGTTCTTTGCCGCAGCGCCAGTGTGCCAGGCGAAGGGAAAGGGAAAGGGCGTGCACGCTGAGAAGAGCAAGGGGAAGGGCAAGCGCAACGAGTACAAGCCCAATGGGCAAGCCAAAGGAAAAGGCAAAGGAAAGGCGCGAGTCCGAGAATCGCAGAGAGGTGCTGTGTGCAATGCCAGAATAGAAACACGTGACGTCTCCTGCGCATTTACACCCGCAGGTTGAAGGTTCTGGTTGACACTTGCTGTTCGTGTCAGTCCCTGGTGCCTTTCAAGAAACAGACAGGCCCGACGTGTGGACAGGGCAAAGGGAGAATGTCGACAAACAAACAAACAAACAAAAGCAAACAAAAAAGCAAGCAAACAAACAAGCAGGCAGGCATGCAAACACACACAGACACACACCCACCCACCCACCCACCCACGCACGCACGCACGCGCGCGCGCCCGCCCGCCCGCCCGCCCGCCCGCCCGCACGCACGCCCGCACGCCCGCCCGCACGCACGCACGCATGCACGCACGCACGCACGCACGCACGCCATGCGCAGACGCACGCACGCGCAGACGTACGCGCAGACGTACGCGCAGACGCACGCGCAGACGCACGCGCAGACGCACGCGCAGACGCACGCGCAGACGCACGCGCAGACGCACGCGCAGACGCACGCGCAGACGCACGCGCAGACGCACGCGCAGACGCAGACGCAGACGCAGACGCAGGCGCAGGCGCAGACGGAGACGCAGACGCAGACGCAGACACAGACGCAGACGCAGACGCAGACGCAGACGCAGACACCCACAGCCACACCCACACCCACACCCACACCCACACACACCCACACACACACACCCACACACACCCACACACACACGCACCACACGCACCACACACACCACACACGCACACACACGCACACACGCAAACACCCACGCACGCACGCGCGCACGCACGCACGTGCGCACGTGCGCACGCACGCACTCACGCACACACACACACAGACACACACACACACACACCCACACCCACACCCACACACGCACACCCACACACACACACCCACACACACCCACACGCACCCACACACACACCCACACACACCCACACACACCACACCCACACACACCCACACACACCCACACACCTACACACACCCACACCCACACACACCCGAACACACCCACACACACCCACACACACACCCACACACACACCCACACACACCCACACACACCCACACACAGCCACACACACACCCACACACACCCACACGCACCAACACACACCAACACACACCCACACCCACACCCACCCACACCCACCCACACCCACCCACCCATCCACGCAACCACGCACGCACGCACGCGCGCGCGCCCACACACACACACACCACACACACACACCACACACACACACACCAACACACACACACCAACACACACACACACACACACACACACACGCACGCGCCGCACAGCACAGGCGCAGGCACAGGCACAGGCACAGGCACAGGCACAGGCACAGGCGCAGGCGCAGGCACAGGCACAGGCGCAGGCACAGGCACAGGCGCAGGCACAGGCGCAGGCACAGGCACAGGCACAGGCGCAGGCGCAGGCGCAGGCCCACGCCCACGCCCACGCCCACGCGCACGCGCACGCGCACGCGCGCGCGCACACGCGCGCACGCGCGCACGTGCACACGCGCACATGCGCACACGCGCGCGCGCACGCGCACACGCGCCCACGCGCCCACGCCCCCACGCCCCCACGCCCCCAGGCCCCCGCGCACCCACGCACCCACGCACCCACGCACTGGTCTCCAAGCGCTGCATTCATCCACATCTCTCTCCTGTCTGTGTTTGATGGATTCATATCTTCATTCCAGCAAACACACAGGAAATAGAGAGATATGGAAAGGATAACATGGGAGGGAACGGAGAGAGCGCACATCCTTCTTTCTTTTACTTTTTCATTCTCTTTCTGTTGCTAATAAAATTACGAGAAGATGCTACATCAAGGTTAGTACAGATATTTCCAAATGATACAAATAAGATATGAAAAAAGACATGATAAAGCTATTATTTTGCAAGATTTCCAAGATTCTAAAGTTTACAATAAATAATAAAAGAGAATTACAGTAATAAAAGATGAAGTGATTTACAATATGAAAATGAATTAGAAAGAGAAATAACAAAAGAAAAAGACAATAAAACAAAGCGTTCTACAGAAAATAAAAGACACATGATATGAATGAAGATTACATAATTCTAATAAAGACAGACAAGAAGCATTACATTAAAGTAAAATAATATAAAAATACCAAAAATAAAAGAAACAGAAAATAAGATAAGACAGACAAATGACATCCGTTCCCTTCGCTCCTTCCCGTCTCTTGGTCAGGTTCTAGAGTTAACGGATGAAGATTGGATGAAGAGGTAGGGAATGGTGACGAAGAAATCCCATCCCTAACCCACCTTCCTCCGCTCTCTCCCACATGCCACCTCTCTCTTCGTTCGTTTCCCTAACATACGATTCCAAGAGCTGACAGGTGGGTGAATGAGATTATGATGGTAACTACATGAGAGCGACTGAAGGTGGGCGGCTATTTCTCTTTCATATGTCCCTTCCCTTGACCGTGTTAACGAGAACACGGGAGAGAAGGAAGGGTGTCATGTCCACTCTCTTCCTCTCTTCGTTCGGGAGTGTCCATGAGAGATAGAATGCTTCTTGGATGATTTCTTCCTTGGCAGTCAATGGTCAAGAATTCTTGGTCAGGCCCCTTTACAGCTATTACAAAGTGAGATAATGGGAAATGAAGAAAGAGGAGAGAGAATGAACTTTTCTGTAATAGCGGTTCATCTCTGGCCCAATTATAAATCCTGGAAGTTGGGGATGTGACCGTGAGAAAGCACTAACCCTCAGCTGTCAACCTTTTCTTATCTGTATCTTATTGTCTTTTTATTTGTATTTCTTGTGTCATCTCTTTTACTTTTTCTTTTCTTTCATTATCTTTTTCATCGTGTAAATCATTTCATCTTTTATTACTGTAATTCTCTTTCCTATAGACACAGCATATTATCATAGATTTATTATTGGTGTTCAAGATTCTGAGATATAGACGAAGAAGGAGATCACAAACACAGTAAAACACTAAATAAAAAGACAATAAGATACAGATGGGAAAGATAAAAATAATTACATGTCAAGATACGACCATAAGATAGAAATAGAATGGTGTTATTTGGATTACTTCGCCAGGAGACGTCTATAGAGCTGATATTGGATATCTTATTATCTTTATGTCGTAATCACGTGAATGAATCTCAGAGACAAAGCACACAATAAAGACTCAGAAAATAGATGTCTCTCTCCAAGTCCTCAGATTAAAGGCTATTTCTACATGGGACAGAGGGGTGTCCCTCTCCTGTTTTTCCTGGCGGTTTCCACTTATTATAATTACAGACCACGGGTACCATCAAACAGATGGACCCATATTTGGGATATTTCGGTTTGGCCTAAAATGACCTGACGTCAGGCATGCGCATTTGGGAGGTGCACGAACTGTCCCACTCAGGTGGAGGAGATTTTAATGTGCCATTCTTTGGAAAACAAAAGTCATTTTTGACCGTGGCTCATAGGACTTGCGGATGACATGAGAGAGGACTGAACACATTTTGGGGGCATATCGCCTTTTTTTCCACAGCTTATCATTACGCTTCAAGGTTGACAAACTAGAAGTGTTCAGGAAAACAGAAGCTGACTGGGTGCAAAATAGCCCATTTTGTCATTCTCCAACAAAGAAGCCCACAGAAAATGGTTCATGATGGATCATTTTCGAGAAAATTCCCCCGCCCCTCCTGATATAGGTCTAATTTTTCTGCGTGCCGCCCAAAAGTGTGGTTCCTCGTGGTTTCCTTTTTTACAAACCACAAAAAGTGGCACCCCCAAGGTAGGTACGGCGTGCTTCAGGCGCTCTTGCGACCGGCCGCCGCGCCGCGCAAGAGGCAAAGCGCTGACAGATTGGGGTGAGGGTTTCGTCATTGTTTCCATTTACCGGTAAATGGAAACAAAGCATTCTTCCCCAAACAACAGTTTACTTTGAAGGGTTCTAAATTCATTTACGGTGACTCGCCTATTGCCAAGCCATAGCCTGGATGCCTGGCACGGTTCTCTGGGTGGACGGGTTCATTTGTCTTGCTTTGTCTCCCTTCATTTGTCTCCTGTTGTCTCCCAGCCTGGATGCCTGGCACGGTTGTCTGGGTGGACGGGTTCATTTGTCTTCCTTTGTCTCCCATCATTTGTCTCCTGTTGTTTCCCAGCCTGGATGCCTGGCTCTGTGGGTGGACGGGTTCATTTCTCTTCCTTTGTCTCCCTTCCTTTGTCTCCCGTTGTCTCTCAGCCTGGGATGCCTGTCACGGCTCTCTGGGTGGACGGGTTTCATTTGTTTCCCATTATCTCTCATGGCTTTGTCCGCGCGCGCGTGCGCTTGATCAAGGCACAGTCTTGGTGTGTTCCAGCTGACCACATCGGCGAGTTCCAAGTGAACACGTGTTTTTTGGCATGTGACCGTATGAATGTGTTCCACATGAGCACATGTTTGTGTTCCAGGTGAAAGCATGCAATTGTTCTGATAAAGCACATGTGCGACCCGGTCAACATTCTTAGTAAGGGAGCTTAGTCTACAGAGGCCGCCGTCGCAATCGCTTTGTACAGTTTTTCACACACAAAGCGCAGTCCTGCAAATACTAATGGATTGCCCGCTTCCGGAGGCGCTAGGATGGCGCTTGATTTGCGCTAGGGTCTTTGGTGATCTTGGTTTCCAAGAGTTGGCGCGTGGGTTGCTGCGACGGGCTTTGTGTGGCTTTCAAGGGTGTAATGTTGCAGTTCTTACTCAGTACTTGAGGCCAGCCCGCACGTTTACCTTCATCTTACGTGGCCTTAATTTGTCAAATCCACACGGATGGTCGCCGTGACTCCAAAAAATAAATACGGCGAAGCTGCGCTAGCCGCGCGCTAGCAAGGCTAGCGCAGTGGTCAGCTGTGACCGGTTCCCAGTTGCGCCTCAATCCAAATTTGCTTCCGCTCTCCTCGCATGCAATTACCATGGAATGCGATTTGCTGCGCAAACGGGAGACAAAACGGCTGAGGCAAGAAGGCAGGGATGGCTTGTACGGAGCGTACGGAAGAATTGGGTTGTGTATTTCCCTGCGAAAGCAAATGCTTTACTGAATCGACACGAAGAGTTGCCACAGTACGATAAAGGCAGTTTAGAGCGTTCTATCGAGCAACAGATTGCTCGATACAAGCGACACTGCGCAGCCAAGCGAGAAGGAAGTGCAATGCGCCGGAAAGCTTTTGCTCAGATGAAGCCTGTAAATGCTGGAGACGCACCCGGGACTGATAGTATTAAAGCAGTAGTAGTAGCAGCAGAAGCAGCAGCAGGCTCGAACGCTAGCAACGTGTTGCAAACTTGCTAGGTTGATCGCACACGAACACTATTTTCCTACTTGGAACGTGCAAATAAAACACAAGCGTTGTTCAAGGCAGAGCCCGATGGAATAGCGCCTCACAGCCGGCTTCGGGAACTTGACTTATGTGCCGCACAGACGTGCAGAGAAGGTAAACTCCATGTGAACACATTTTTGTTGCCCAGGTGAACGCATGTGTGCTGCGCAATTGTTTTGCACATGTTTCTCCACATGCGCACACACGTGTGTTCCATGTGTGCACATATGTGTGTTACAAGTCAGCGCAGAAGTTTGTCTGGTTAAACATGTTTGTGTGATCCAGGTCTGCACCAGTGTTGCGCGTGAACACAAATGCCTGTTCCAAGTGAGCGCATGTGTGGCTGCCAGGTGAACACAAAAGTGCGTGGCAGGTGAACAGACATGTGCTTTCCAGACATACACACATATGTGTTCCAGGTGTACGCATGTGTGTGTTCCAGGTTCCAGGAACACATGTTTGTTATCAGACGAGCACGTGTGTGTGTGGTTGTTCCGGGTTTGCAAACATGAGTGTGCTTGCGTGTACACATATGTGTGTCCCACGTGTACACAAATGTGTGTTCACATGTGCACATATGCGTGTTCCACGTGAAGTGTGCACATTTGTGTGTTCACGTGTGCACACATGTGCGTTCCAACTGGACACGTGTATGTGTTCCAGGAGAACACATGTTTGTTATCAGATGATCTCGTGTCTGCTCCGCATGCACATGTATGTGTGTTCACGTGTACGCATATGTGTGTTCCACGTGTGCTCATGTGTGCACACATGTGCGTTTCAACTGGACACGTGTTTGTGTTCCAGGAGAACACATGTATGTTATCAGATGAACGCGCGTGTGTGTGTGTGTGTGGGTCTCTCCGCGTGCACATGTATGTGTGTTCATTTGTATGTGTGTTCCACGTGTACACTTTTGTGTGCTCACATGTACACACATGTGTGTTCCATTCGACACATGTTTGTGTTTCAGGTGAGAACATGGTTTGTTAAGATGAGCGCACGTGAGTGTTCCGGGTGCGTATATATATTTGTGTGTTCACGTGTGCACATATGTGTGTCCCACGTATACACAGACGTGTGTTCACATGTGCACACTTCTGTTTCATCTAGACGTGTGTTTGTGTTCCAGGAGAACACGTGTTGTTATCAGATGAATACTTGTGTGTGTGTGTCTGTGTTTCTGCGTGCGCATAAATGTGTGTGTGTGTGTTCACGTGTGCAACACACATGTGTATGCTCCCTTGTGCACATGTGTGTGTTCACGTGCGCACATGTGTGTCTCCCACGTGTACACATATATGTTGTCACGTGCACACACATGTGTGTTCTTATCAGACATGTGTATGTGTTCCAGGTGAACACATGTTTGTTTTTAGATGAACGCTCGTGTGTGTTCCACGTGTACACACACGTGTGTTCACGTGTGCGCACATGTGTGTTCCAATTGGACACGTGTTTGTGTTCCAGGTGGGCAGATGTGTGTCTCGCGTGAAAACATTACTATGTGCTAGGTGAACATTTTTTGCATCTGACGACTTATTTGCTCTCCAGGTGTGCACATGTATGTGCTCCAGAAAACGCATGATTGTTTTCGAGGCGCGCGCATGTGTGTGTGAGCGCTTTAGGTGAGCATTTATGCTTGTTCACGCGTGCGCATGTGCAGACATGTGTGCTTTAATCGCACACGCGGTGTTTCTGGACACATATGTGTGTCCCACATGTACACACATGTGTGCTTTAGTTGCACGTGTTTTGTGTTCCAGGTGAACGCACGTGTGTTGCACGTGTACACACATGTGTGTCTGAGTTGGACACGCGTTTCATTGTGTTCCAAGTGAACACATGTGTGTTCCACGTGAACACATTAGCGTGTCGTAGGTGAACACATATGTGTATTCCAGGTGTACACATGTGTCACTGTGTGTGTGCTTTACAAGAAGCGCACGTTGGTTTTCCAGCTCAACACATGTATGCGTGTGCCGCAGGTGAATGCATATGTGTGTTCACGGGTGCACATTTGCGCGTGCCGCGTGTGTTGTTTCAGTCGTGTACATATGTGTGTTCCACATGTACAGACACACACACACACGTGTGTCTGAACTGGAAATGTGTGTGTGAACTGCCCATGTGACCGCGCGCTTGCGCAGCTACGCTTGCATTCACGCGCGCTCGCTCGCCCGCTATAGCAGACGCTTGCCCAACCTCGGTTTCTGCGCGGCGCTGAAGCGCGAAGCACGCCAGCAACACACGTGCAGCAACGCAACGCGTGCCGGGTTCACGACTGCACGCTTTGATTCATCCGTGTTGAAGCGCAGAAAGCCACAAGCTGTCGGCATGTTTGTGCTTGCCCGTTAGTCCTCAACTGTTTGGGGTCTCTGCTGGTGTAATTTTTAAATCCGGCCATTGTTGTCTCGGAGGTTTCTTTTGCTCAGTGCAAAAGTCCTAGACCCAAAAGCACTATGCGGGAACTCAATTTAGCGGCAACCAGACAGTTTGGATTTGTTGACCAGTCTCCAGATTCAAGGGTTTGGGTCAAAAAAGGGCACCCAAGATCCCTGACAAATGGAAACATGGCCTAAAACCTGCGGCCCCCTGGTGGTTTAATTTTGACCCATGCCCCCCCATTCCCCAAATAGGTTTCTTTTTGGCCCCGCTTCAAGCCATGCCCACACGCTGGGAGGCGGGAGCGGCCCGACTTCGAGCTGATCACAGCGGGCAAGATCGAGGAGGCGAAGGCGCCGAACTGGAAATTTGGAATTGCAGGTTTGTCCTCCTGTCGTCCGTGTTTGCTTGCTCGGTCGTTTTTGCGGTTGCTTGCTTGTTTGCTTGTTAGCTTGTTTGCTTGTGTGTTTGTCGCTTATGTAGTGTATTGTAATGGAATGTATTGTAGTGTATTGTACTGTAATGTAATGTTATGTAATATTACGTAATGTTATGTAATGTTATTATGTAATGTCACCTAGTGTGATGAAATGTTATGTAATGTTATGTCCTGTTATGTAATGTTATGTAATGACATGTAATGTTATGCACGTATGTATCATATTGTAACGTATTGCAATGTAGTGTGTTGCACTGTGCTGTAATGCATTGTAATGTAATGGAATGTTTTGTCAGGTTGTGTTCTGTTCTATACTGTTTTGTCTACTATGTATGTGTGTTTGGTATGTGGTGTAGTGTAATGGAATGGATTGTATGTAAGTAATGTGTGTATGTGTGTAATGGAATGTAATGAAGTGTAATGTAATGCAATGTGATGAAAAATGTAATGTGTGTATGTATGTATGTATGTATGTATGTATGTATGAAAATGTATGTATGTATGTATTGTATGTATGTAATGTAATGTATGTAATGTAATTTAATGTGATGTATGTATGTGTGTAACATATTCATGTATGTATGTATGTACCGACATGTATGTATATATGTGTATGGTATGTTATGTATGTAGTGAGTGTAATGTATGTATGTAATGTAATGTAATGTAATGCATTGTAGGTATGTGTGTATGTGTGTAATGTATGTATGTATGTATTTATGTATGAATGTATGTATGTATTCATGTATTGTGATGTGACTTAATGCAACTTAATGTAATGCATGTATGTATGTATGTGTGTAATACATGCATGTATGTGTGTATGTATGTAATGTAATGTAATGTAATGTGTTGTAATGTAATGTATGTATGTATGTAATGTAATGTATCTATCTATGTATGTATGTATGTATCCATGTTATGTCATGTTATGGTATGTTATGTTATGTTCTGTATGTAGGTATGTATGTATGTAATGTAATGTAATGTAATGCAATGCAATGTAATGTAATGTATGTATGTATGTATGTGCGTAATGTATATATGTATGTAATGTAATGTAGCGTACTGTAATGTAATGTAGTGTAATGTATGTATGTATGTATGTGTGCAATGTATGTATGTATGTATGCGAAGCAATCGTATTTGGCGACGTTGTTCCTCGCGGTTTCCGCAATAAACACGAGAAAGCCCAAAAAGCGAGAAGCCAAGAAATCCGGAAACCCGAGAAAACCGGAAAACCGAGAAAATCGGAAAACCGAGAAATCCGAGAAAACCGGAAAACCGAGAAAACTGAGAAAACCAGAAAACTACCTTGCTGGCTCTCGTGGCTTTCGCCTTTTTCTTGAAGCTTGTGCCTTTTCACCGTTCTCCCATGCTTACGTTTCGCGGTTTTTGCGGCTTCAGGGTTTTCACGATGTTCGGGTGTTGGCAGTTTTCGCGTTTTCTGGTTTTCGCGTTTTAGTGGTTTTCGCGATTTTCTTGTTTACGCGGTTTTCGCAGTTTTCGCGGTTTTCGCGGTTTCCGGGTTTTCGCGATGTTCGCAGGTGTTCGCTGCAAGTTTCCGTTGTATGCTTAATGGCCTTTTGCTTTGAGCCCCAGCGAGCATAAAAATAAGATAGGTAGATAGATAGATGGATAGATAGATGAAGTACATTGGATTAGGATAGATACATGGATAGATACATAGCACGGTAAGATAGGACAACATGGGATAAGATAGGATAAGACAGGATAAGACAGAATAACATAGGTTCAAATAAGGTAAGACAGGACAATTTATGATTAGGTAAGGGAGGCAAGATAGATAAGGTAGATAGTATAGATATGGTAGGTATGATAATCAAGGTAGATAAGGCGTATAACATATATCAGGCAGATACGATGGAACAAGATAGTGAGATAGACAGATATGATAGATAGGATAGATAGGTAGGTGTCTAGGTAGATAAAACGACAGATCGATAAATGGATGAGCGAATACGTGGATAAATTGATATGTAGATAGATACATAAACGCATAGATACATAGGATAAGGTAGAATACGCTAGGATAAGTCGGGAGAATATAGGGCAATATAGGATAAGACAGGACAAGACAGGATAAGACAGCATAAGGCAGGACATGATAGGATAAGAAGGGCTAACAGACGATGATACATATATATATACACATGGACATATATGTAGATGTATATATTGATGTGGATAGCTAGACAGAGAGATGAAGAGATGGATATATACATAGGAGAAGAGTTGCTACAACAGGCTACTATAGGGTATGTCACGGTAGGATAGGCCAACATGGGGTAAGGTAGGATAAATTAGAACACGCCGTGGTAAGATAACATATTTTAGGATAACGTACGTATAAGGAGGCTAAGACGATACTATAGAGGTAGGTAAGGTAGACAAGGTAGATACGGTAAATTGAATAGACAAGGTAGATGAGGTAGATAAGGTAGATAAGGTAGATAAGGTAGATAGGGTAGATAAGGTAGATAAGGTAGATAAGGTAGATGAGACATAAGATGCATCAGATAGAGATGCTGGAAACGATACAGAAGCTACCCGCAATGAGATAAATAGGAAAGCTAGAAAGGTAGGACAGATAGAATAGGTAGGTAGATAGATAGACAGATAGGATCAGATAGGGTGATATGAGATAAGATATAATATGATAGGGTAAGACAGGATAAGATAGGACACGAGATAATATGTTATAAAGGTGGGTAATGTAGATAGGTAGATACGATCGATGTGATACGTAAGATAGATCAGATAGATAAGGTAGAATAAGATAGATAAGATAGGTGCGATGGGATAGATGGGAAAGATAGGATAGACAGGAATGATGGGATAGGTGGGTGGGTAGGTGGGTAAGTTGGTAGATAGATCTATAGACAGATACATAGGAACAGATAAGATAAGGTAGGAACATGTAATATAAGGTAAGGAAAACATGGGATCAGATAGGATAAGAGAGGACAAGACGGGATAAGACAGGACAAGAGAGGCTCATACAGGATAAGATAGAATACGATAGGATAAGGTAGGGTACGATGGGAAAACAGGATGAGGGTAGGATAAGACAGGATAAGATTGAGAGATAGGTATCGACAAATAGATCGATTGGTGCATAGGAGAAGATAGGCGAAGACAGGGTGAGACACGGTAAGATAGGCCAACATGGGAAAGATGGAATAAGATAGGATCATACAGGACAAGCTAGGATACAATAGGAAAAGATAGGCTAAGATACCATACGACAAGATAAGACTGTATATGATAAGATAAGGTAGGTAAGATAGACGAGGTACATAATATAGATATGGTGGGTATGATAGACAAGGTAGATACGACATATATTGATGATATTTATCAGATAGATAAGATGGACGCTCTAGATAAGCTAGATACAATGAGTTAAATAGGACAGGTATGAACGGTTTTATAGATGTTCTATCTAGATAGGATAGATAGGGTAGATACGCTCAATAGATAGATAGATAGATAGATAAATAGATAGATATATAGACAAGCTGATCGATGGATAGATAGATACATAGATAGATAAGTAGATAGGTAAATAATTAAATATACTAGACAAATAAGATGGATATAAATAGGTAGATAGAGATAGATAGATATAGATAGATATAGATAGAGATAGATAGAGATAGATAGAGATAAGTATTGAGATAGAGATAGCGATACAGATAGATACATAGATAGATAGACAAATAAATAGATCAAGAGATGGTTGGAGAGAGATAGATAGAAAGATAGATAAATCGACAGACAGATAGAAAGATAGATAGATAGAGATAGATAGAGCCAGATAGAGATAGATAGATATAGATAGATATGAATATAGAGATAGAGATAGATAGCTCGATCGATAGATAGACAAATAGATCCACACATCGATAGTTGGGCAGAGATAGATAGATACATAGAGTATGGGATGAGTTTGCTGCCTTTTCAAAATTTGTCGCGTGAAACGTTTTGTGCTGTTTTCACGGTTTTCGTGTTTTTTGTGCCGTTTTCGTGGTTCTCGCGGTTTTCGCGGTTTTTGCCTTTTTCGTGGTTTTCGCGGTTTTCGCTTTTGTTTCTCCGTTTTCGCGGTTTTCGCGTTGTCGCGTTTTCGATTTCAAAATCCTCTTTGCGCACGTCACGAATATATCGCACAGTAAAGCTGTCGGGGTGGCCGTTGAGTTTTCCACTTTGCGGACTTGTATGACCCAAGTGCACGCACCGCTCTCTCGGCCACTGGGGACAGCGCCTTATGTAAAACCAGTAGAACCGCCTGGTTGTCCAGGGTCAGTTGAAGGACGTGGCCATGGTGCTGCTAAGCGTGCGAATTGGATACGTCTTTTGGGGGAGCCAAGCAAGCAGAATCAATGCGGGTCAACATTCTACAGTAACTCCCAATCACACAGCAATGCCACCAGCGATTTCCTATGTTTTCCCTTGTGTATGTATGCATGTATGTATGTATGTGTGTGTGTGTATGTATGTGTGTATGTATGTATGTATGTATGTATGTATGTATGTACGTATGTATTAATGTAGTGTAGTGTAACGTAGTGTAATGTACTGCAATGTACTGTAATGAATGAATGTATGTATGTACGTATGCTCCCCCTTCACATTGCGCGAGACTGTCGCATCGAAGACAACTTTTTACGTGCAGGGCACTTTGGGTGTGAACCCTCGATCTAGCCCAGCCTTAACTGTTACCTTAAGGACCCCTTAAGTAAACACAATTCGGGAAGCCAAACAAGCAAACAAGCAAGCGAACAGACAGCCAGACACAACATCCTGAGGCCCGCGCGGCAGCGCTCCTGCCCGCCGCCGCGCTGCGGGGTGGGGGCCGGCCGGTGGCCTGCCTGGGGGTCAGCCTCGAAGCTGTGGAGGCCTACTTTGCTTGGCAGGGCCTGGCCTCCACAGCCGGGGCTGACTCCCCGGGGCTCTGGCGGTGCGGCAGCCCTCGGGGGCGCCAGCTTTAGGCCTGCGCTCACATCGCGTCGTCCAAGCTTCCCGTGGGCCAGTGTGGCTTTGCAAAGAGGAAGGTCCCAAGAAATGTACTTCGCTTTCATTTGGCGAAGAAGGCCTGTGACCTCCCATAAGAAACTTCCAGTGCCACTCAAGTTGCACAGAGAATGCGACAGAATGCGAGTGGGAATCGTCCTGGATTTCACGCGGCCTTTTCAACATCGTTCGGACTAGCTTGGTATGTGCCTTTACACAAGCCCAATTTCTGAAGAACAACCAGCTTTCTTCAACGTTTCCTTCACTTTTTTCAAGATTAAAATTTCCAGATGTGCTAGTCATCATCACGGGTCGGCTTTTTGGAGTGACGTAAAGGAGACATGGGACCATTGCCCGCATGGAGCCAAAGCCGAGACTGGGAAAGCCACAAGCCGCGCTCAGGGGCTGCCGCACTGGCAAGAAGGTGGCCGTCGGTGCTGCCGCCGTGGGAGGCACTGTGCATGCGGGAAAAATGAAGCCCTGCCGGTGCAGGTTGACTTTTTTCCATCCACAGTGGGACTAAGATTTAGGGCTCCACTCTTCTCAGAGGCTTCCGCAACATTGCAATTGGCTTGCATGGATGTTCTGGCCATGTTGAGCGCGTGTTCCTTCAATTCACACCTGATTTCAAATGGATTCTTGATTCAAGAATTATCCGTTTATTTCAATCCTGCACCAGTTGGGCTGGATGACTTCCGTCACCAAGGATCTTTGCAATGCTTGACTGCTCGACCATGACTCGTTTCTTTCACCCTTGGAGTGAGTAGCAGTGTCTGATTTCATAAAGCCGCCGAGTGCGCCAAACAAAAACCCGTGGCGCATGCAAGTGGTGGTTCAAAAAATAGTCCATTGCTCATGTGGGAGAAAAGCATGGGACCCGAACAAGCTCCCAGCTTCCCCAGCGAGTTCGTGGGGCGCCCCGAATGCGACCGGGCGTCCCGGCGAGGGCTGGCCCTGATCGGCGCCGCCTGCGTGGCCGGGGCCTTGCTGGCAGAGGGCGACGGCCTGGAAGACCTGGGAGCGTGGGCCTCGAAGCGACGCCGGACGTTTGGGGGGCTGAGTGACGAGGCTACGCAAGGCGGGGCCCCGCTTTTCTTTTTTTGTTGGGCCCAGAGAAAAGGTTCCTTCTGTTTTTTTCTTTACCCGCGTGTGAGAGGGTTGCCTGTTCGGGGTCACAACTGGAACGAAGATGGATGTCTTGGTTACCTTTGCACACACTTCCAGACTAGTGAGCCTGACCTGTGGCAACAGTCCATGGCTATCCTTCCTTCCAAAAGCGGATCAATTGGCTTGGCAACGGCTCCCCCCTCGCCAGTCCCAAGTTTGGATCACCTGTGACCAGGTTTCAACATCGCATTTCATGCGGCAGGGGGGCATCCTGTCCTCTTGTGGTTTTGTCTTGGCGATTGGCGCGGACCAGCCCTCCTTTTGGAATTTGATTCCAAGGCCTGTACTTCGCCGGAGCATACATGGTTGAGGCTCCCGTGAAGGGCTTCTCCCTGGGAGCAGCAGCTAGAAGGTGTCACCCTCGCTCCCATCCCAAATCCGTCTCAGGCGACGCGGCAAACCCCCAGAGCCGGGCGCTACTTGGAGGAGATTCCCCTGCTCTGGTGCCTGGCCGGACCTCGACAGATGCCCGACAAGTCGCTCGGGTAAAAGGGAAATCGACTGGAGGCTTCTGTGCAACCTTCATCGGAAAGCCAAAAGGAAGCCAAACTTTTTTTAAGGCCGGGGGGGCTCCCTTGAAAAAAGCACGCACACACACATACCCAGCAGGAAATTCCATTCCTTACATCTCCGCTTTGTAGGCCCATGGCTTTTGTTAGAAGGGTCTCAGGACATTCGCATCTCAAAATTGACTACTAAAACTTAGGCTGAGCATGTGGTGTTTGGTGTGCCATTCAGCCAAGACCGGTTCTTCCCGGCGCTATGCGATCCCTACCTGAGTAACCAATGGGCAAACATAATTCCCAGCCCCGGGTATCTATAGGAGGTTCACTTCCAAGTTGACTTCGACCTGTGTGGCAGAGTCTTAAGATCCTTCGGTTTTCGGGAAAGGGGGCGCAGAATGGCGGCGCTACCAAACTGGGCACACACGAACACCAAATGACCTTTCGCGCAATTTGGTGGGATCGCGTACCATTTCCCCATGCCAGTTGGTATGAACAATTAGTGTCGGAAGCCCGTTCCATGAAAAAATCACGGGGATCTAAGAGCCAGGCGTGGATCACGCCGCGAATCGTAGCCAAGAGAGGGGAAACTCACAGGCCTCAAGACCAAACCTTGCGCTCAACAGGAGCACGGCTGGATTGAAACAGGTTGCGCTGCAGTGAACACAATGTTCCCTTTTCTTTTAGTCTTCCCGCTTGGAAGTTTGTTCAACAAAGAACGCCATCTGAAAGTCTGAAAGTGGGACAGGGCGGCCGACCTGCCGCAAGTTCGTCGAGCTCAACTTACAACGACCCCTCGGCTCGGACAACGTTGGTTGCCCTTCCAGTTCCTTGTGGTGAATAGGCCAAGCCGCCAACCGATACAAGCCTCTCGATTAGTCCGTTTATGAAGGAACCCTGGTCGATCCCAAGACCCCTCGGCCATTGGCGCGTTTTTTCATGGCTCCAGCCTGCCAGCCACAGCCACCAAACAGTCCACCAGGCGCGAGCGGAAGCAAGGAGCGAGGTCTCAAGACGTTTCGAAGCCCGAATCAAAATGGGGGAGCGGGTTCCCTTGGTTACCTACTAAAAGAGAATGGAAGCGCTGGCTATGTTTTTGTTGTTGTTGTTGTTGTTGTTGTTGTTGTTGTTGTTGTTGTTGTTGTTGTTCTTGTTCTTGTTCTTGTTCTTGTTCTTGTTCTTGTTCTTGTTCTTGTTCTTGTTCTTGTTCTTGTTCTTGTTCTTGTTCTTGTTCTTGTTCTTGTTCTTGTTCTTGTTCTTGTTCTTGTTCTTGTTCTTGTTCTTGTTCTTGTTCTTGTTCTTGTTCTTGTTCTTGTTCTTGTTCTTGTTCTTGTTCTTGTTCTTGTTCTTGTCCTTGTCCTTGTCCTTGTTCTTGTCCTTGTTCCTTGTTGTGTCCTTGTCCTTGTCCTTGTCCTTGTCCTTGTCCTTGTCCTTGTCCTTGTCCTTGTCCTTGTCCTTGTCCTTGTCCTTGTCCTTGTTCTTGTTCTTGTTCTTGTTCTTGTTCTTGTTCTTGTTCTTGTTCTTGTTCTTGTTCTTGTTCTTGTTCTTGTTCTTGTTCTTGTTCTTGTTCTTGTTCTTGTTCTCGTTCTCGTTCTGTTCTCGTTCTCGTTCTCGTTCTGTTTCGTGTTCTTGTTCTTGTTCTTGTTCTTGTTCTTGTTCTTGTTCTTGTGCTTGTTCTTGTTGTTGTTGTTGTTGTCGTTGTCGTTGTTGTTGTTGTTGTTGTTGTTGTTGTTGTTGTTGTTGTTGTTGTTGTTTGTTGTTGTTGTTGTTGTTGTTGTTGTTGTTGTTGTTGTTGTTGTTGTTGTTGTTGTTGTTGTTGTTGTTGTTGTTGTTGTTTGTCGTTGTTGTTGTTGTTGTTGTTGTTGTTGTTGTTGTTGTTGTTGTTGTTGTTGTTGTTGTTGTTGTTGTTGTTGTTGTTGTTGTTGTTGTTGTTGTTGTTGTTGTTGTTGTTGTTGTTGTTGTTGTTGTTGTTGTTGTTGTTGTTGTTGTTGTTGTTGTTGTTGTTGTTGTTGTTGTTGTTGTTGTTGTTGTTGTTGTTGTTGTTGTTGTTGTTGTTGTTGTTGTTGTTGTTGTTGTTGTTGTTGTTGTTGTTGTTGTTGTTGTTGTTGTTGTTGTTGTTGTTGTTGTTGTTGTTGTTGTTGTTGTTGTTGTGTTGTTTGTGTTGTTGTTGTTGTTGTTGTTGTTGTTGTTGTTGTTGTTGTTGTTGTTGTTGTTGTTGTTGTTGTTGTTGTTGTTGTTGTTGTTGTTGTTGTTGTTGTTGAGCTACGTTGTTGTTGAGCTACGTGAAGGTGAGCTCGCCTGAAATACAGAGGCTTATTACCCACGATGAAGGTCGACTTGCAGATCCCCCTCCTTGGTTGGGCGTATTTGGAGACCGCGTCCGTCAAAGGAACCAGCACGGACCTTGTGAGGCTCCATTGAGATACACATTGTGGGCACGGCTCTGGTTTCATCCGCTGAGTTGGTTCTAGCCATCACTTTCTATGGAGCCTGCTTCCAAAAGCATGTATGTTATCATGTCCACCCTTGAAACATCCATTTCTCCTGACAGTATTCCTGGCTTGGTATCAGTTGGGGCGGGAGACAATCATCACAAAGCCAAAGGGTGCAAAGAGTTCTCTTAGACACACTTGCAAGCAAGCTGAGCAGGACTATTGCTCCCCCGCAAGTAGTTGTCAGCGGAAACCTTTTGCGTGTGAAAGTCCAAAAAATAAAAGTTGGTGTGTCTTAATTAAAATGGGGGTCCTCGGAAAGCAAAAGGTACGGTTGAAATTCAGGGGCATCCCCAACCGCTAAACTGTTTTTAGATGTTCATGCTGGAAATCAGCGTCAATAGTTTGGAGGCGGGGTGGTTTGCTGCTTGCCCTCTACAAGAACCAGGGTTAAAGCAGGGCATATCTCTGGCGCTTCCCGACCTCTAATTCAACACCCCCCCCCCCCATAGCAAGGGAATTGAGTCCCCTACGCGCAGGTCACCCCACACATATTTTTACTAGGGGGACTTAAAAAGCTAACACAGGCCAACCACTCGCCGGCTTTCCCCCCCATCTGTTTTTGGGCAAAACCAACGCACCAGCAGACCCAATGGGGCGCCCTTTCTCCGATTTCCGCAGTCCGCACGGAGGTTCCCAGCCAAGACAGGAGGCCCGAAGCGGATGTGGGGGTTCGGGCGAATAATTCGGCGCGGCTGACTCAATTGGGGTCTCAGAACGTATTTTGGGTATTTGGGGGTGGATCAATATTCCTGCCCCCCCACCCTGCAATGAGAAAGATCATCGTTTTGGTGTTTTCCCCAATGATCATCTCATTTAAGAGACACATCCCGCAATGACTTGGACCTGGCAATGAAGGAGCATGGATCCCAAAATGGGGTCCCCAAAGAGAAGATTCCTCTAAAAACAGGTGTTTTGCGGGTTCCATGTCAACTTGCGAAGTAGTAAGTTGATGTAAACTGATGATTGGACCCTGATTTAATCAAGTTGTTGCCGCAGACGGCCACACCTGTTGTTTCGAAATCTGATGCAGGGCTTGTTTGAGGCGAGTTTCTCGTACATATATTTATTCAGTTTAGGCTGACAGGTTGACTTCGCTTTGTCTGGGTCCCCTTTTCCATCAACCCAAGAGGTGATCTTTCTTGTTTCAAGGTTCCTGGCGGAGCTTTAGGGAACTTCATGCCAGTGTTTCACCTTGGTATCAGCGGAGACATGTTTTCTGCCCCAAAAATGCAAGCAAGGAAAATCCCAGTTGCTCAGGTTGCACGTTTTTTTTCCCTCCTCTCTGTTTCGGTTGTTTTTCTGCGGGAAGCGGCATTCCTCACTCCATGAGCTGTCCCTGTGACATGCATGTCTGTTGAACAGGATGGGTGCCACGCAGTCGGCTCAAGCCTCAGGGGGCCGAGGATGAGGGAGCAAGGTTGGGGCAGTTGGGATTGCTGCGCCCTTTCAGTTGCTAGTAGATGGGGTCCGGAGTCCAGATGTCCGGTGTCCACTGAGATGTTAGCCGCACCATGCTGCACCCATCATTGGGACCCCCTCGTAATTAATCCCTAGGAAGTGGGTTCAATGTTCAATATTGATTGTGGTTTTCCCCTTGGTATTTCTTTCAACCAAGTGAAACACAATTTCCTAAGATAAGACCGTTCCGTGTTACAATAGCACACACACAATTAGAATATATGGAAGTAGGAAGTAACACAAGGAACACAAAGCGTCAACAGTAACATTGGAGGCCATTGAAGACCAAAGTTTAAATGCATTGGTCACTTCTGCTCTATACGGTCATAGCCGAGCAACAAATTGCTGACAAAATTAGGCGTTAAATCTGGAGGGCTCGCTTGATCGCGGCAAGACGTACGCGGGGCCCTCAGGAAAATCGCATGCAGCAAAGCCCGAGAGGTGGAGAAGGCCTGGATTTGTCCCATGGCAACTCCGAGGGTCTGAGACAATTCATGGCTTTTCAGTCTAGCCGTTTTCAGCTGTGTTCAAAATCAGAATCAACATCCAGTAGATCCGATCTTGTTAAACACCTGCAGAACAGTGGGGGGGAGAGTCCACCTGAGATGACAGACAAAGCAGCATACAACTTGTGAAATGAGGGCCTCTGACAAGCAACAATCTCACAATGCTCTGTGTAAAGACGGCTTAAGTCCTCATTCGCATGTTCAGCGGTTCTTTTTCCAAAGGTGGCATCGGGGCCGGGCTTGTCTCTTTTCCGAGTCTCCTTAGAAGATACATGCTCGCGAATGGCAAGACAGCTATTGAAATTCATGTGCAATTGGAAATCGGAAAAAATACACAGCATTGGTGCTTGCGGGCTGTCCATGAGAGAACGCAGGTGAAAGATCGGCTTTGTGCGAATCAGTTCGATTGCAAGGGTGGAGCACTGCGGGTGCTTGATGCTTTAGCGAATCACTTTGGCCAACACCCAAGCTCAGCACTTCAAATTGGTGCGCTTGACGCGAACCAAATTCCATTCTGGTGAAGTCCTGACGCACTGGCATGGACTTTGCGAGCTTGAGTGCTTTGTGGCGTCTTCCCAGGGAGCCCGGAGTCTGAAGGGTTTGCGGCCGTGGGAAGGCTGGGCTGATGCCACATATGGACGCCCCCCCCCCCTGGTTCAGTGTGTTCTTCTCTTGTTGCAAAATCATTTTCCCATAAAAACGCGTTGAGTTGATGCGGAGACGCTTGTGGTCGAGGTTCTTTTTGCGTCAAGTCTCTAAAAGGGGATTTATTGCTTGCCATGACCGATCCACGCCAGGGAGGAGATAGGTGCCTGGCCTGCTCCTGATCCGCAGAAGGCACCGGATGGCACAGTTGGGGGCCCAAAAAGCATAGAGACACAGCCTGTATTTTTCGTTGTTTTTGTCACCCTGAGCCGCTCTAAATGTATTGGCTCTTCTATTTGCTTCCAGCCTATGGCCTCGAAGGACCACACGAAGGCGGTGGGGCAGCCGCCCAGCCGAGGGCGGCTTGGCCAAAAGAAGACACATCGGCTTGGCCCGGGCTTGCTTTGTTTTTCATTGTCTCCTTTGGTTTTTGTTGATTCGCCTGAAATATGGCACAAAACAAGCCTGTTTGTCAAGTGATTTTGGCTCGCAAGACTTCATTGAGAGTCGCGTAATGGAGTCGTCTTTGCAACAGACGAGCGTGGGAGAGCAATTAAAGCCTTGCGAGGAACTTGCTGTAAGGTTGTGAAGTTCAGTCATCTTGTGACGATGCCCTTGCTGATGCTATGCTGGTTTTCATCGCCTTCCTTTGCAAACTCTGAATGGCCAGAGGGTGGCAAGACGGCTTGAATCGATTTGCAAGACAGGCGCATTCCGTAGACGAGGGACTTGAGTCGCCCGAAATCGCCCGAATCCTTGTGCCATCCAGGAGCGGTGCGCAGTCTGGCAGTGGCAATGCAACCTCTTTTGTGTTTTCTCTTCCAGGACTGGTTCTCTGCCCTCTCCGTGAGGGAAGCTGTCCACTTTCACTTCCATACTCGGGACCGAGTCTTGGGGCTGTGCTCTGTGAAGTCCCTTCAGATGTACTCCGGAACGCCGGATGGCTCAACCTAGCGGACCAACTTTGCACACGGTTTTTCCGGGTATTCTGGAAGCCTTCCGTGAGGTTCCTTTCTGCGCGCTGAGGTTCGAGTCCAAACCTTCGCCAGCCAATATCCCCGAGAAGCACGGCCGAGCGCTTAGGTGTGTGGCGACAGAAAGGCTGCGGTCATGTGGGGTGTGTATAACCTGCTGCACTCTTGTGCGCGCGCAGGTTTGGCTTCCTTATCTTTGGAACGATTAGTTATTTGCTTTCAGACGACGCATTTGCTGATGCCAGCAGCTGCTGAACACGGTGCCGTGCCAGAAGCATTCTCAAATTTTCCACTGAGTTCTTCCCACACAGGCCATAGTCAATGCTTTCCCATGAACCTATGGTTGTGAAGTGAGTGATGCCAATCCGACCACGTTGTCAAAGCTGATCGACCCCCCAAAGACAATTGAATTAGTGGGTCAACAGGCTCGCACTAAAGAGCCTGAACTCATGAGTTTCCAAGCTGCCCAAGGCTACGAGGACAAGGCGGTGTCAATTGCAACAGCCAGGGGCTTGCGTTGTTTGATGCAAGTCTTCACCGGTCGATGTTATTTGTGGTCGATGTTATCTGTGGCAAGATGATCCTTACAGCGTGGGAGTGTTGAAGTGGGGACTTGCTGCAAAGTGACTTGGCCATTTTTGTGTTGCCTCTCCCGATGCACATCGATGTTCCGCGAGGTGATTTGCATCATCCGTTCTGTTTTCTTTCTTTTTTTTGTGGAGCGTGGCCGTGCGCTGATTCCATTCCAATTCAGGGTCGCTTCTTTCTTCCCCCTCTACCTACTTTTCCTGCATGGATCATTCGGTATGAGCTCGCACCCGGGAGAAAATCGATCATGTTTTGATTGGTTAGAACCACCTCTATTGCGCAGGGATTTTGCGAGGTTCAGTCAAATTGACGTCTGATGGAAGCGTTGGATATTGGTTGGCCAGCTTGTCGGTTTGTCTCAAATGAGGGGAGCTCCGCCCAAATTTGGCAAACTCCTTTTGACACTTTTTTTTGGGGGCCCAAAAAACATAGAGACACAGCCTGCATTGTTTGTATTTGTCACCCTGAGCCGCTCTAAATGTATTGGCTCTTCTATTTGCTTCCAGCCTATGGCCTCGAAGGGCCACACGGAGGCGGAGCAGCCGCCCAGCCGAGGGCGGCTTGGCCAAAAGAAGACACATCGGCTTGGCCCGGGCTCGCTTTTTGTTTTTCATTGTCTCCTTTGGTTTTTGTTGGCACAACACAAGCCTGTTTGTCAAGTGATTTTGGCTCGCAAGACTTCATTGAGAGTCGCGTAATGGAGTCGTCTTTGCAACAGGCGAGCGTGGGAGAGCAATTAAAGCCTTGCGAGGAACTTGCTGTAAGGTTGTGAAGTTCAGTCATCTTGTGACGATGCCCTTGCTGATGCTATGCTGGTTTTCATCGCCTTCCTTTGCAAACTCTGAATGGCCAGAGGGTGACAAGACAGCTTGAATCGATTTGCAAGACAGGCGCATTCCATAGACGAGGGACTTGAGTCGCCCGAATCCTTGTGCCATCCAGCGGGTTCTCTGCCCTCTCCGTGAGGGAAGCTGTCCACTTTCACTTCATACTCGGGACCGAGTCTTGGGGCTGTGCTCTGTGAAGTCCCTTCACATGTACTCCGGAACGCCGGATGGCTCAACCTAGCGGACCAACTTTGCACACGGTTTTTCCGGGTATTCTGGAAGCCTTCCGTGAGGTTCCTTTCTGCGCGCTGAGGTTCGAGTCCAAACCTTCGCCAGCCAATATCCCCGAGAAGCACGGCCGAGCGCTTAGGTGGCGACAGAAAGGCTGCGGTCATGTGGGGTGTGTATAACCTGCACTCTTGTGCGCGCGCGTTTGGCTTCCTTATCTTTGGAACGATTAGTTATTTGCTTTCAGACGACGCATTTGCTGATGCCAGCAGCTGCTGAACACGGTGCCGTGCCAGAAGCATTCTCAAATTTTCCACTGAGTTCTTCCCACACAGGCCATAGTCAATGCTTTCCCATGAGCCTATGGTTGTGAAGTGAGTGATGCCAATCCGACCACGTTGTCAAAGCTGATCGACCCCCCAAAGACAATTGAATTAATGGGTCAACAGGCTCGCACTAAAGAACTCATGAGTTTCCAAGCTGCCCAAGGCTACGAGGACAAGGCGGTGTCAATTGCAACAGCCAGGGGCTTGCGTTGTTTGATGCAAGTCTTCACCGGTCGATGTTATTTGTGGTCGATGTTATTTGTGGATGATGATCTTTACAGCGTGGGAGTGTTGAAGTGGGGACTTGTTGCAAAGTGACTTGGCCATTTTTGTGTTGCCTCTCCCGATGCACATCGATGTTCCGCGAGGTGATTTGCATCATCTGTTTTTTTGTTCTTCTTCTTTTTTTGCGGAGCGTGGCCGTGCGCTGATTCCATTCCAATTCAGGGTCGCTTCTTTCTTCCCCCTCTACCTACTTTTCCTGCATGGATCATTCGGTATGAGCTCGCACCCGGGAGAAAATCGATCATGTTTTGATTGGTTAGAACCACCTCTATTGCGCAGGGTTTTTGCGAGGTTCAGTCAAATTGACGTCTGATGGAAGCGTTGGATATTGGTTGGCCGGCTTGTCGGTTTGTCTCAAATGAGGGGAGCTCCGCCCAAATTTGGCAAACTCCTTTTGACACTTTTTTTTGGGGGGGGCCAAAAAACATAGAGACACAGCCTGTATTCTTTGTTTTTGTCACCCTGAGCCGCTCTAAATGTATTGGCTCTTCTATTTGCTTCCAGCCTATGGCCTCGAAGGGCCACACGGAGGCGGAGCAGCCGCCCAGCCGAGGGCGGCTTGGCCAAAAGAAGACACATCGGCTTGGCCCGGGCTCGCTTTTTGTTTTTCATTGTCTCCTTTGGTTTTTGTTGGCACAACACAAGCCTGTTTGTCAAGTGATTTTGGCTCGCAAGACTTCATTGAGAGTCGCGTAATGGAGTCGTCTTTGCAACAGGCGAGCGTGGGAGAGCAATTAAAGCCTTGCGAGGAACTTGCTGTAAGGTTGTGAAGTTCAGTCATCTTGTGACGATGCCCTTGCTGATGCTATGCTGGTTTTCATCGCCTTCCTTTGCAAACTCTGAATGGCCAGAGGGTGACAAGACAGCTTGAATCGATTTGCAAGACAGGCGCATTCCATAGACGAGGGACTTGAGTCGCCCGAATCCTTGTGCCATCCAGCGGGTTCTCTGCCCTCTCCGTGAGGGAAGCTGTCCACTTTCACTTCCATACTCGGGACCGAGTCTTGGGGCTGTGCTCTGTGAAGTCCCTTCAGATGTACTCCGGAACGCCGGATGGCTCAACCTAGCGGACCAACTTTGCACACGGTTTTTCCGGGTATTCTGGAAGCCTTCCGTGAGGTTCCTTTCTGCGCGCTGAGGTTCGAGTCCAAACCTTCGCCAGCCAATATCCCCGAGAAGCACGGCCGAGCGCTTAGGTGGCGACAGAAAGGCTGCGGTCATGTGGGGTGTGTATAACCTGCACTCTTGTGCGCGCGCGTTTGGCTTCCTTATCTTTGGAACGATTAGTTATTTGCTTTCAGACGACCCATTTGCTGATGCCAGCAGCTGCTGAACACTGTGCCGTGCCAGAACGATTCTCAAATTTTCCACTGAGTTCTTCCCACACAGGCCATAGTCAATGCTTTCCTATGAACCTATGGTTGTGAAGTGAGTGATGCCAATCCGACCACGTTGTCAAAGCTGATCGACCCCCCCAAAGACAATTGAATTAATGGGTCAGGCTCGCACTAAAGAGCCTGAACTCATGAGTTTCCAAGCTGCCCAAGGCTACGAGGACAAGGCGGTGTCAATTGCAACAGCCAGGGGCTTGCGTTGTTTGATGCAAGTCTTCACCGGTCGATGTTATTTGTGGTCGATGTTATTTGTGGATGATGATCTTTACAGCGTGGGAGTGTTGAAGTGGGGACTTGCTGCAAAGTGACGTGTGTTCTGCCTATCTGTTTATCCAACTCATCCACGCATCTGCCACATTCAGTACCTTGTTTGTGTGTCTATCTTCATCCACCTATCCGTCGATTTGTTTATCTGGCTATTTGTATTCAATTATCTATACATCTATCATCAATTCTGTCCATCTAAGGACTTGCGTGAGCAGGTTGTTTTCAGAAAATGACACCTCCGAGCACCTGATAAGTGTGTTCAGCATTTTGTTTGGCTTTTTGAGAGTGCATGCACTGAAACTTTAGAGCCTCCGGCTCAGTCCGCCGACACTGTCCTCTCCGTTTTCTCCTTCTTCCTCTCTCGCTTGTCACCTCCTCCGTGTGTTCTGTCGTGTCTCTTCTCCATCCTCCCCATCCCCCCAAGCCTCTCTCTCCTCAATCTCCCTCTCTCTGTCTCTCTCTATCTCTCTCTCTCTATCTCTCTCTGTATCTCTCTCTCTCTCTCTCTCTCTCTCTCTCTGTTTCTCTGTCTCTTTCTGTCTCCCTGTCTCCTTCCTGTCCACGCCCCTCTACCAAAAAACAGGGTACCCTTATTCTAACCTTTCTACTGGAGGACCTAGTCTCTCTCTCTCTCTCTCTCTCTCTTTCTCGCTTTTTTTCGCTGTCTCTCGATCTCTCTCTCGATATCCAGGCACTGCCCCTTCATGACCCTGAGCTGTCTGCTTACTACTGGCTGTCCCCTTGATTTCCCCTGCATGTCCTTTTCACGTTTCCCATGATGTCCTGGTCATGTCTCTTCCATTCCTCTCAACTCACCCCTTCATGTCCCTGTCATTTTCTCGGTATGTCCGCTTCATTGTCCATGTGTGTCCCGTTCTTTCGTTGCGAGTCATTTCCCTACATCTCCCGTCGCGCCGATTGATTTCCTTGTCCTTTGTTTCCCTTTCATTCCCCCTGCACTCCCCTTGTTTTCATTTCTGTCCCTTTCATGTTCCTTTCAGTTCCCCTTTCTTTCCTGTCATGTCGGCTTCCTATTTCCTCCCCTCATTTCCTTGCACTTCCTTGCATGTCCCCTTTGCTCCCCAGTATTTCCCGCAAAAATACACGGGTTTTCCAGTGTTTTCGCAAGCGGACGTCGGCAAAAGCAGCAAAGAGCCGGCAGGGGGATTCGAGCCTGGGACCCCTGTTTTGCAAACACCGACTCCCCGAAGACTACGTTTAGTCGAACGTCATCAAATTACCGCGTGGCACGTGGCCCCCCCCCCCCGTACCCTACGTATCAGATGTTGGGCACTGAAATTTGGCTACCGGATGGCCAAACACACTTATTGACTTGCGCAGCTTAAAGCCCACGAAGCCTATGGAGCTTGCGCGGGCGTCTCTGATTGCAGGGCCGAAAATCACGCGGCGCGTCCTCCGATGTCTTGTGACTCGGGCGTCTCGCATGGCGTCTATAAAGTTGCGGAGGGTCCAGCGTCAAACAACGCGCAGAAGTTCGTATTTGAGACTAGGGTCGGGACTTTTCGGATTTGTGGGAAGCCATTTGTTGAAAGCATAAGGCTGGAATCAGATTTTTTGGTACGTTCTGACATTTTCCGAATCCGGGAGCTTGGATTCAGAAAATTTCGGAACATTCTGAAATTTCAAGATTCCGGGGAGCTGCAAAATATGTTTTGCTTCTGCCCAGGAAAATTCTGATTCAGGGAGATTCCGGGAGCTAGAGTCTTCTGATTTCAGGCAGCCAGAATCAGACAAAATCAGAAACTGGAATCCAAACAAATCGAAAAAGCTGGAGCCACAACAAAGAAAACTGAAATCAAAATCTTCAGAAGCGAGTGGAATCGGAAGTTTTCACAGATATGGAGCGGCAAGCGTACAATTTCTGAAAGGCTTGAAAGTGCTTGATGGAATCCAAAGCAATCAGATCATCCTGAAACTGTCTCAACGCGATCTGGAATCAGAGCATTTCAGAAAAGTCTGCATATTTTAATATCGGGCTGGAGTCAGACAATGCGCGGAACATTCTGGTTACCGGGAAATGTTAATATTTTTTCTGAAGTTTGAGCCCCTGAAGTTTTCTGTTTGCCGGGGGCTGGAGTCAGAAAAAGTTCAGAATTCCCTGAACATTTTCTGAATCTGAAAGATGCATTTTTCTGAATTTGACTGACTTCGGAAGCTTTCAGAACAGATACGAAGTTGAATGCGGGAGCTGGAAATAGAACATTTCAGAAGGACTGGATTTCTGAATCTGGGAGTTGGAATTCGGGAGCTGGAATCATAATTTGTCCAGAATTTTATCAAGTTTTCTGAATCCAGGAGCTGGAGTCAGAGAATTGCGCAATTTTCTAGAATTTTCTGAAATTTTCCAAAGCCGGGAGCGGTAATCAGAAAATTTAAGAAAATGCTGAAACGTTCTAAAGCCGGGAGCTGGAATCAGAAAATTTCACAAAATTCTGAACATTCCTGAATTCGGGAGCTGGAATCTGGGAGCTGGAGTCAGACAATTTCTGAAAGTCTGATTCGCAAGAGGAACGTGTCAGAAAGAAATGAATGTTCACAGATTCAGAACATGTCAGGATCTTCTGATTCCAGTCAGGAAATGTCAGAACGTTGTGAAATTGATATTAACTGAACTGTCAGAATTTCTGAGATTGTCTGATTCCAGGTCTTCAGAGAATGTTTTCAAGTTTCTGATTGCTCCCCGAATCCGGGAATCTGCAAATTGCTGAATTTTCTGAAAATATGATTCCAGCCTTCCGGAAAGAGAACACACGAATCTCCTCCAGTTTCTGACTAGACATAGTCAAAATTCTGGTAATTGTCTGATTCGAGAGAAAAACATAACTTTATGAAATGTTGGTGCTCCAGCTCCCGAATCAGACAAATCATATTTTCTGAAATGTTCTGATTCCTGCTTCCTGAAGCAGGCAAAAACATGTGTTTTTTTGAGATGCTTTGATTTCAGCCCCGCGTACTCATAATTGTCTGACCCCAGCTCCTGGATTCCAGGTTCCAGCTCCCAGGGTCAGACACTCCAGCTCACAGAAGCAGAAGAAAAGGGTATTATTTCCGATCTTTCCGCAGAAAATGTCAGAGTTGTTTGACATCGCCAAAATGTTCTGATTCCAACGCGTTCAGAAAAATCTGATTGGGTTAAGAGTTTCTGCTGCAAACCCATGCTCACCACTGAAGTAAGTGCATGTACGTCATCAGTCTGGCACACATTTTGAAATAAGTATGGACAGCCATTGCTCTTCAAGAGGGAGGCGCAGTGCACTCTTGTTGGGTCCAACAGCACAAGGGAACCAGAAAACACACTTGTTGGGTCCAAAACACCCCTCTCACGAAAGTCCTTATGTCCATCAGTCTATCGATGTACTATCGATATGTCTATCTATTCTCTTTGTTTTTTCCTTCCTTCCTTCCTTCCTTCCTTGCTTCCTTCCTTCCTTGCTTCCTTCCTTCCTTCCTTCCTCCCTTCCTTCCTTCCTTCCTTCCTTCCTTCCTTCCTTCCTTCCTTCCTTCCTTCCTTCCATGTTTCTTTCCTTTTCTTTTTCTCTTTTCGTTTTCTTTCTTTCTTTTCTTTTCTTTTTCAGGCGATTTACTGGTCTATCTTCACAGCTCGCTATCGATGTATCGATCTATTTGTCCAGTCACATTTACTTAGTTATCCAACCAATCAATCGCATCAATCAACCTGTATATCATGTTTGTCTTTGCGTCAACCAACCTGCCTGTGTATGACTTTCTGTCTATGCGTCCATGCGCCTTTCGATCTGTCTGCGAGTCGTGCTCCGAAAGTGCTGCGCCTGTCGCGAGTTTCAAGGCGCGACGGTCCAAAGTACAGCGCCTGCCGCACAATTTGAATCAGTTTGATGCAAGCGCCTCAAAGTGCTGCGCCCGTCACGCAAAGTGAGCTTGCAACGGATCCAAAGTACTGCGACTGTCACGAAATCCAACTTTGTCACGAAAGTTTGCGGCGCATGTCCGAAATTGGCACGGCGACGCTGGCGACCGCTTGCAGACGCTTGCGGATGCTTGAGGACGCAGCGACACATCTGGCGAACACATGCTGAACGCCAGACCTCTTTCTATGACGGGCAGCCTTCTGACACGCGTTCGGGACAAGTTTGTTCCAGAGTCCCAACAAAATGTAAGTCTGGGAAAACTAATGTTTAGATTAGACAAATATTCAATTAGGCCCCCCTACCGTCCGCAGCTTCAGCCGTAAGGGTTTTCTGAGAACCACAAATTTCGAGACCCACATGTTCCACACCCCAACTACAAGTCAGGTCTAACGGCACACTTGAAACATATATGAAAAAGAAGAACACCGCGATAATGATGATGATCCTGATGATGCAAATCATCACCCAACATCAGTGATGCTGAGAATCATCGCTATGCATCCGCAGCATCGCCAGCAGTCATGATGATAATCGCCACTTTGCACCCCCTGCGTGTCAAGTCGGATCATGATGGTGATGATGATGATGATCCTGATGATATCAACACTACGCACCCCCAGCATCACCAGCACTTACCGTGACGACATCCTGATGATGATCATCACTACGCATCCCTCGCATGAGCAGTTATCATAACAGTCATGACTACGCGTCACCTGCGTTCCAAGTCGGTGTGGATGCTGCGAACCATCACAACATCAGTGGCGATGATAATCACCATTAAGACAAGGACGAAAACGAACCCTTCCCACGCGCCTCCGCTTTACCTTTAGAGAAAGGGGTCGGCGGATAATAACACAAACCATTGGAGCATTATAGAAGCAAAACAATGAACGCGAAGAGTCAACAAAAACATTGGAGGCCGCTGAGGACCAACGACCACGACTTCCCTTTTGTACATGTTTAAACCCATCATTTTGGTTCCAATGAGCTTGATGACCAGGCGCCGGCAACTGGCGCGGTGTCCAAAACACAGAGTCCCGTTCAGTCAAAGCCGCCAAAAGAGCTCATCGAGAAACATCCTCTTTCCAACCGACTCCGGGGGGGGGGGTCCTGTCAGATCGTACTTGCCTGACCCTGAACAAAACCCATTGTTTTTTGCCTCCTTTGGCCAGAGCCAACCACGTTGGTCGACCCAAAAGTCGACGGGTGCGGGCGCGACCGCTGCGAGACGCGCTCATCAGGCCGCGGCGGTGGCGGCGCCAGCGCCGAAACCACCACCGCCGGCTGCCGACGTGCCCAGCGTGACGACGCCGCAAAAACCGGTGACTGACATGTGAACGTTCTTCCATCTTGAGCTTCCATGAACCAATTTCAGTCACCAACTGACTGATAGGTTTTTCTTTTCGAACATTGTTCTTTTTCACCTCTTCAACCTTCAAGGCGAGGCGATGAGTTCGCACTTAGAGATGAGTCTAAGTTCCCCCCCTCAAGAGCCTCAAGGATGTCCTCACTTTCCCTTGGAGGGTCTTCACAAACAGGGCGTTGCCTGGATCCACTACTCTAGGGGTGGCAAGATCAATCCTCATCGGGTGGGGCGTAGGTGTTCTGCTCTACTCTTGACTTGAGGATGACGGCTTCGGATATTCGCTTGCCTCAATGACTTTAGCAGTGCTTGGACTTACATTCAAATTGCGCTTAGGAGTCTCAGACCTAATTGTCTATTCTGACCTCTGAAGACCTGTCGCAAATCTGGCGCGTCGGGCCTATTTGAGTCAAGCATAGATCCTTTTGACTGAGAGTCGCGTCTCTTTGGGAGCTAAGTCATTACGGACTCCAACTTTGATTGTGTCGAGTGTGGCCACCTGAGCGTCCGCCAGAGGACAAGGTTTTCTGGCCCACACAAAGGCTCGCGACAATGAGCTGGGGGCACATGTGAATGCGATTGGTACCCCCTCGCAATTGGTTGGTATTGAAACTTTAGAGCCTCCGGCTCAGTCCGCCGACATTGTCCTCTCCCTTTTCTCCTTCTGCCTCTCTCCCTTGTCTCCCTTGTGTGTTCTGTCGTCCTCTCTCCCTCCCTCTTGCTCCCCATCCTCCCCATCCCCCAATGTAATGTAATGTAATGTAATGTAATGTAACTGTAACGTGTAATGTATGTATGTATGTATATGTATGTAATGTAATGTAATGTAATGTAATGTAATGTAATGTAATGTAATGTAATGTAATGTAATGTAATGTAATGTAATGTAATGTAATGTATGTAATGTATGTATGTATGTATGTATGTATGTATGTATGTATGTATGTATGTATGTATGTATGTATGTATGTATGTATGTATGTATGTATGTATGTATGTATGTATGTATGTATGTATGTATGTATGTATGTATGTATGTATGTATGTATGTATGTATGTATGTATGTATGTATGTATGTATGTATGTATGTATGTATGTATGTATGTATGTATGTATGTATGTGTATGTATATGTATGTATGTATGTATGTATGTATGTATGTATGTATGTATGTATGTATGTATGTATGTATGTATGTATGTATGTATGTATGTATGTATGTGTATGTATGTATGTATGTATGTATGTATGTATGTATGTATGTATGTATGTATGTATGTATGTATGTATGTATGTATGTATGTATGTATGTATGTATGTATGTATGTATGTATGTATGTATGTATGTAATGTATGTAATGTATGTAATGTAGGTAGGTAGGTAATGTAGGTAGGTAGGTAATGTAGGTATGTATGTAGGTATGTATGTATGTATGTATGTATGTATGTATGTATGTATGTATGTAATGTATGTAATGTATGTATGTATGTAGGTATGTATGTATGTATGTATGTATGTATGTAATGTAATGTAATGTACTGTAATGTAATGGAATGGAATGGAATGTAATGTATGTATGTATGTATGTAGGTAGGTAGGTAGGTATGTATGTATGTATATATGTATGTATGTACTGTCTGTGTGCATGTATGTATGTAATGTATGTATGTATGTATGTAATGTAATGTAATGTAATGTAATGTAATGTATGTATGCATGTATGTATGTAAGTATGTATGTATGTATGTATGTAGGTAATTTAATGTATGTATGTATGTATGTCTGTATGTATGTATGTATGTACGAATGTATGTATGTATGTATGTATGTATGTATGTATGTATCCGCAGCATATGCATCCTATGCATCCGCAGCATCGCCAGCAGTCATGATGATAATCGCCACTTTGCACCCCCTGCGTGTCAAGTCGGATCATGATGGTGATGATGATGATGGTCCTGATGATATCAACACTACGCACCCCCAGCATCACCAGCACTTACCGTGACGACATCCTGATGATGATCATCACTAGGCATCCCTCGCATGAGCAGTTATCATAACAGTCATGACTACGCGTCACCTGCGTTCCAAGTCGGTGTGGATGCTGCGAACCATCACAACATCAGTGGCGATGATAATCACCATTAAGACAAGGACGAAAACCAACCCTTCCCACGCGCCTCCGCTTTACCTTTAGAGAAAGGGGTCGGCGGATAATAACACAAACCATTGGAGCATTATAGAAGCAAAACAATGAACGCGAAGAGTCAACAAAAACATTGGAGGCCGCTGAGGACCAACGACCACGACTTCCCTTTTGTACATGTTTAAACCCATCATTTTGGTTCCAATGAGCTTGATGACCAGGCGCCGGCAACTGGCGCGGTGTCCAAAACACAGAGTCCCGTTCAGTCAAAGCCGCCAAAAGAGCTCATCGAGAAACATCCTCTTTCCAACCGACTCCGGGGGGGGGGGTCCTGTCAGATCGTACTTGCCTGACCCTGAACAAAACCAATTGTTTTTTGCCTCCTTTGGCCAGAGCCAACCACGTTGGTCGACCCAAAAGTCGACGGGTGCGGGCGCGACCGCTGCGAGACGCGCTCATCAGGCCGCGGCGGTGGCGGCGCCAGCGCCGAAACCACCACCGCCGGCTGCCGACGTGCCCAGCGTGACGACACCGCAAAAACCGGTGACTGACATGTGAACGTTCTTCCATCTTGAGCTTCCATGAACCAATTTCAGTCACCAACTGACTGATTGGTTTTTCTTTTCGAACATTGTCCTGTTTCACCTCTTCAACCTTCAAGGCGAGGCGATGAATTCGCACTTAGAGATGAGTCTACGTTCCCCCCCTCAAGAGCCTCAAGGATGTCCTCACTTTCCCTTGGAGGGTCTTCACAAACAGGGCGTTGCCTGGATCCACTACTCTAGGGGTGGCAAGATCAATCCTCATCGGGTGTGGGACAAGGTTTTCTGGCCCACACAAAGGCTCGCGACTTGTAATGAGCTGGGGGCACATGTGAATGCGATTGGTACCCCCTCGCAATTGGTTGGTATTGAAACATCATTTCCTCAGATAAGACAGTTCTGTGTTCACACAAGCCATTGCATTTATATAGAAGCAAAACAATGAACACGAAGAGCCTACAATAACATTGGAGGCCATTGAAGACCAACAACCGCGACTTCCTTAAGTTTAAACTCTCGTATATTTTGGGTTGAGCTGGGTAGACTGTCTTCCTACAAGCCTTCCCCTCTGCCTGAGGTTCGCTTCTTTGGCGCTGCGCGGCCCCCCAGGTTTGGCTCGGAGCGGTTTCTACTTGGGGTTGCGAAATAACCCCGCGCTAAAGAAGTATGAAGGGACGTGCCCCTGAATGGTTCTGGCTTAAAGATCCTGCAAAGCGATAGGAGTAAAACATAACGAGGCGTAAGTCACGACTTTCAAGCTGCAGCTGCGGAAGTTGTGAGTTTTGAGCTGAAGCTGCAGAAGTGTACTTAGCGTGCTAGACTTGTGCTACAAAATTGCGATTTCCGAGCTGGAGCTGCGGAAGTGTGTGTCGCATACTAGAGATGTACTACAAAGTTGCGACTCACAAGCTGGAGCTGCGGATTTGTACTTCGCGTACGGAGCTGCGGAAGTGTATTTCGCACACGTGCTGCTTTGTGAGCACGACGTGTTTGCGCTTCTTCCCTTGGCTCTTTCCTCAGCTTGGAGCGGCGTCCCCTCAGCTTTCCTCATCATCACAGCGCTGTTTAAGTCAACGAACCATATTCCCACCCACGGCCTGTGGATGGCGTTCCAAGCAGTGTCAACAAAAACATGAGACAAGGATACCTTGCGACCAAGTTCGCCTTCAACCCGCTGGAGACAACGCGATGTCCTCTCCCGCGCCACACGCCCGCGAATGGTTTGTCGCGCGTTCATTCTTTCGTCATCGCGTCTGTGCGCAAAACTAAATTCAATTAGTGTCCGTAACGCGGACGTTCAGAAAAAAAGTCTTCGCCTTGCTCGAAGCGGGAGCTGTTTGCGTCTCTCCTTACACGCCAAGCTCGGCCTGGTTTTCTATTGCGGACCAGGAATAAAAACAGAGGATGTATATAGAGAGGACCTGGGACTCCTTGGTTGCAACCTCAGAGGGTTCTTTTCAGAAAGGTGTCTCCAAGAAGAGACGGGTCTTTCCAAAAAATGTGCTTCCAGAGGGGCCTTTCGATCCCAAAACTCTTTCGACACTTTCCAGAAAGGCCTTCCAGACCACAAGGGCCTTGCGAAGAGGTGTCCGAAGGAGTCTGCCCTCAATCTATTTCCACAAAAAAGGTCTTCAGACAGACTTTTCCGCAAGGGTTTCTTTAAAGAATTTCTTCAAAGGCGTTTCTTCAAAGTGTTTCTTCTAAGGGTGTCTTCAAAGGGTTGCCTTAAAGTGTTTCTTGAAAGGGTTGCCTTCCCCCCCCCATGTTTCAAAACTCCAGCAATCAGACTTTGGCTTTGGCGTTTCCGAGTCTTTTGGCAAAGCAGCCGGATGTCTCGTGCGTTTGAGGCCATGGACGTCCGCCCGCCGCAAAGCAAGGGCACGTCGACGGCGTGGCGGTGAAGGAGTGGAGCGGGCTAGGTGCAACCCCCTTCAACCCAAAAAAGGCAAGGCCAAAGTTCCTGGTATGCGTCAAACATTGCATGTTCCTTGCATCCCCCACCAAAAGTGGGCACATAACCAAATGCGTCGGCGCATTGCAAATATTCCTTTGCGCTCAGCTGGGGGCCTTCACTTGTCCTAATTTCCTGAATCTCGTGAATCCACAGTGCAATTCGCGCGGGTTGCAGACCTTTCGCGTGCCAGCTGGACAAAGGGTCCCCATCAAACTCATACCAAGGCTCACCCCGTTTGCCTCCGTGTCCCACTGGTTTGGTTTCCCATCGCGCGAAAACTGTTAGGAGGTCCATGCTGTTTGCTGGGCGTCTAGCGCCGGTGTCCCAGAAACCAAAGCGGTGCAGAACATGGCGCTCACTGAAAGAGTTGCGTCGACAGCATCGATCCTTTGTGCCAAGGGGTGCCGACTCAGTGAAATGCCGATTGTATGGACGCCATGAACAAATCCACAGCCAAGCCAGAATTATTTGTTTTTTCTGACTGGCCCGTGTGAGGAGTTTTGAGGGAACTCCATAGCGCAACCCCCCTCCCAAAAAAGGTCAAGATCTGAAAGCCAAAAAAGGTTCCCCCCACAAAGGCACGCCCATGGCACACGTACCAGGGGTTCTCCTTCAGAGAGCCTGAGGCTGGGCCAGAAAGCAGTGGATCACTCGCCGGTGACTGCCGCGCTGTGGCCATAGGGACGCAGATTTTAGTCTTGGGTCCCATTTACCAGGTGCCATTTTGGTACACTTGTTTGAGCTTTCGGTACACGTGTTGGAGCCACAGCCAAATGGGATCCCAGCAGGTTCGCCAAATTTGCGCGCGCCCTGGCACGATCACCGCAACCATCCACCAGGGGACAGTGCGCTCAGGCAGCGTTGAACACCTCCAGTTGCAGTTCTAGTAATCAACTCTTAGGTGGGTTTGCTTCAAAAACAAAGAAACCTCGAAATGGGTGTTGTTCTTTCGGCATCCCTGGTCAACAACACCAACAACCCCAAAATCGCGAAAGGAGACACCCGATTTCTGGCAGGCGAGACGGATGTAGATCATCGCTGGCAGCGCCATAGCTACGCGCTTCACATGGGTCAGGCAATCACCGATTTCCACTGCGCAAGAATAAAAGCGGCCAGTGGCAAAATATCCCATTGAACCCAACATGGGTGTTGGGCGGGATGTACAGCCACTTTAAGGCTTGGAAGTTCAAGGTGCATTCCGCTATACATGCACTTAGGCTAGATTGGTTTTAATAACACTATGCCCCAGGATTGCATGAGACGAGCCAGGATGGATTGCAGCCCCCACCTTGGGAACATGGGCTCAAGCTAATACCGGGGGTCACAAAACTAAGAACACACAGGCAAAAACACATTGACATGTAGCTGCGCTTGCGCGAGATGCCAGATCTGACATTTGCATTCATCGACGTGCCAAACTGCATGTGTTCGACTTGGGCAAACTTAGGCCGCGAGTTTTGTTTGCTGCATGTTCGCCTGGTTTGCCTGAGCCCGGGCAAAGCGCGTTGGCCATGGCGCGGCCGCCGCCATTGGCCGAGTGAGGGGGTGGCACGCAAGTTCCTTCATGTTCGCTTCACTCCAGGGCGAGGTGAAATTCAGAAGAGGTTGGCTCACAATGAGAAAGAGCTGGGGTTAGCTAGGTCGTGTTTCCATCCAACTGGATAAACATGGGCGCCGCTTTTTTGAGCCAAAGCCTTTTCCCTTTTTTTTAAGAAAAAAGGGGAACACCTCACAAGTGGCCAGTGGATATTTCTCCCCACCTATATAAGTGATGTCCACCAAAGGGTCCCCCATCAAAATTCACATTTCCGTTTCAACTCGCCAGGCAGCCAGAGCGGTTATCGCACCCGTGGAGCGGGCCGGGGCCTTGGAGTGCCACGAAGCTGGGCTAGTGGGGTGCAAATGAATGATGCTTAGCCACGCGCCAATGGCACCCAGGCCCCACTTTTTGCAGAGCACGCAAACATGTGAGTTTCAGAAGGATTTGCAATTGGTGCTGTCAGTTGTCCGTGTTGATTTCGAGGGGGAAGATCGACATGAGCACGGCTGACCAAGGCCACGATCATCCATCAGATCAACAGTAGAGCCGCGCAGCCGGCCTTGTTGCCTTCGCGCTGCATGCGCAAGAGATTGCACATGTCTGCATTTCAATCAGGGTTAACCAATCGGATTTGAAGTTTCATTAGGGACCCCTTGGTGTACAGTATTTCGGCGGGGATTCATGTCCACCCACTGTTGAGGAGGTTCCAGCTCGTAAAAATTGACGGCCATTCATAGAAAACCGGGGGCAAAGCCACATTCCTAGGTGCCACAGAGACCGAGCGATGCAGATAGCAAAGCCAGTTTCATGGGTCAAAAGGCACAGGCAGAGAAAGGATGGGTTTGGTTCCTTTGGCAGGTTCCCTGCTTTGCTGAGCAGGGCTGAAAAGATTTGCAACCATTTGAAACATGTGGCTTTTTCAAGACCAACATAAGGGGAAACCACCATTGACAAGGCAATGTTCAGGTGTATAATGTAAGGATCTCTGTTGAGTGCAAAAGGAAGCCCTTGCCATTTTGGGTGACCCGTATTTGGACACAAACCCAAGTACCTCTGTAGAAGGATGGACTTCATCTTAATGAGCGAGCCCGGTTTGTCGGCCGTAATCTCTTGTCAGGTGGATGAGAACCGAAGCCCGGACCTTTTCCAACAGGTTGCCTGGCAGTTCTCCCGGATTTACCATGAAACAATCATGTTTTTTCGGAGACGTGGCAGGATGCTCACCGAGAGTGCGAATCAGTTGACCCACCAATTGGTGTTTGTCGTGGCAATGAGGCCTGGTGCGCGCGACAACGGTCTGGAGAACCAGCCCTGCCCTGTCGGTCTGGCCCACAGACAACTGAGGATTGCGGCATGTGCCCGCGTTTCTGGTCATGGGATGACAAAAGTGCCCGCGCATGACCATGGGCAACTTTTCCGATGAAGCATCAAATCTTTTCAGTGGTATTCAAGCAACGGTGTTATCCCATGAGGTCCTTTTGATCGACCCAGATGTGTCTTACCAACCCTTCCCTCCAAAAGTGGTCTGAATCCCCACAAAAAGGGATCCCCCCCCTATCATCCCATGTCCTTCTGATCAAACCAACCCTATCAGAGCAGAAAAAACGGCAAACCCCCACACGTGGCTGGCGGTGGCCGGTCTCGGAGAAAACGGTGACCGACCGTAGGCGGGGCATTTCGCCTCTGGCGTCCTGGCGGCTGCTGCGCTGCGCGCACTCCTCGGGTTTGAGGGAGGGAGGAGCTTGTGAGGCTACCCCCAAAAATGGCCCACCAAAAGCCCTTGTTGGGGACCCACACCATTTTTTGGGCCCATTTGTTAGAAAGAATGACGCACTCCCTGACGAGTTGGCTCCGACATGCTTACCTTTTTCTGCTTGCGTTGGGGGTGTTGTACGGACGTGTGTGTTTCTTCTTTGAAGGGAAGTTTCGGAGTGGCACAAAAACCCGCCTGGCGGGTAGGACTCGATTTTGCAAACACGGACCCACTTCGGATGGGCGTTTTCCTCTTCTTGACCTGGCTTCATTATGGGATGAGCCTTCTCTAGATTGAGCAGCAACCCAACTGAGTCAAAAGCTTTGATCAAGGACTGGAGACTCGCAGCCTTGCGAATAGCATGCAGCCATAGCCGGATTCCGTGTTTGTGTTCGACTATTCGCAACCTAGCTTCTACAGCCTTGATTTTCGGGTGTGAAGATGAGAGAGTTGTGTGCGCAGAGTTGTCATTGGCGCTTGTGCTTTGAGGTCGTGCTCGACGGCAAGGCGAGAACTACGCTCATGGATTTGGGCTTGGGGTGGCAGGCGAAGGTCTGTTGAGGGTTGGCGCCAACATGTTTGTGTACCTGGCACGACTTGCAGGCATTTCGGATGCCTCGAACATGAAACCTTGTATTTCCAAAGCAACCAAGGAGATCAGGATGCTGTTTTGAATACCAAGGTGTAACTTAGTCTCAATATCTATTTAAGCCTTGTCCGCTATCTCAAGCGTGAGTATGCTGGCCAAAATGCCTGGTTCCGTGGGTGCGAGGAACCTTTGGCATCTTGGCCAGTTTGGGCATTGGCGTTCTTTTGTGCTTGATGCTGTCGTGCCTGAGTGCGTTTCGGCAGTGAGTTTCAATATCGAACCCCCAACATGGGGTGGTGGAAACGAATCCCCACCTACATGATGTCCACCAAAGGGGCCCCATTAAACTTCATATTTGGTTTGCTTTGCTTTTTATGCCGCTGTCACCTCATCTAAGGCTCGGCATCGCGGTCGTGCTGCGCTGTGTCGCCGGCGCTGCCAACTTTCATGTGGGCACCAGCCCTAGGATATCCAACTGGATATGTGTCGACATGTTTTTTGGTGTGTGGGGTTCCTGTCCAAATGGGCGGACTCATGCGGACCCCCCCAAATTTGGGTGTTCTTTTGGTCTCCCTTCAATCCGAGCTGAAACGGGTACCCAAGAGACAGCCACGTCAAGTGAGGCGTCGGCATCGCTGATGTCACCGGGCCAGCTGCAGCCACTTGGATCGAAGTGGTCCAGTGCAGTGACGGAGTCTTTGAATCCGGCTTGGGGCATGATATGTCTCGAAATAGGAGATGGACCCCTAAAAGTGGTTGACCCGCTGTGTTTTCGTGGTCTGACAGTGTTGGGATGTCGCAGGGTTGGGCGCGGGCCAATCTGGCGTAATTGAATTCGCGTTTCTGGCAGCTCCAGAAAATTATGTATACGGACATGCTACGGGCACACTAAACCTCGAGTTTCTGCGGGGAGGATTGTGCATCCCGTTGCTTGGTTAAGGAGGTTGTGATGATGGGATATGCCGAGCAAGACCAGCGTGTGACCGGCATCCACATGCGTATCTTGCCTGCAGCCTTACAATCTTTCCAACCATCTGGTCGCCGCGAGAAGGGTGCATTTGCGATTTGTAGCACTCAAAGACCGGATTTCCCGGGTCTTTGCCCTTCAGAGTGCCTAAATCAGCATATTTCAGCATCTCCGCCCTTCGCTTGAGAGGCCACAGCCTTAGAGCAAGCTGATCAAACGAAACGCCTCGTTGCAATTGATGAACCCGTGTTTTCCTACTGCTTCTGGTTGCCATCCCGGCTACCTACTATAGTGGTAACTGCAAGCGCTGGGCTACATTGCCTCATTCTTAGGTTTGCATGCCCGCGCGTTCATTTTCGTGGAGCCGGATACCGACAAGCCTCCTGGATTGCATAGTGACAGCCACGGATGGAGTTGTTAAGCCAATAGGCTAAGCATGGATGAGTTTATTGTTCAAAGCGCTGAAAGAGAATTCTATCCACTGATCGTCAAATCGTGCAGGAGGTGATTGCGTGATTGTTTGAGCGGGTTCATTGAATCACTTCCATTTGCGTAAGACTGTTTTTCTCCCCTTGTTGGTTTTAAAGGGCAAGCATCTTTCAGTGTTTGTTAGTTATTTTCCCTTGTTGGTTTTAAAGAGAAATCTATCGCTGCCGAACATATGTTTCATGTTTTTTTCCAGGCGACATGACTTGCCTCATGCTACTGCGGGCGACCAAGTGTTTTTTTCCAGCCAATGAAAACTATGGCAAGAGAGTCAGTTGTATGCAAATGAGTTGTTGCGTAATTTGTTTGCAACTTGTAATGCCATTTGTAACTTTGCAAAGATGTTTGCAGTTGTACCTTGCAACTTTTATATCTATTTGTTATTTGCAAGCTCTCAAGTCATTTTCCAGTTTGCAACTTGCCTTGCTCAAGCTGCGTTTAGACTTCAAGTGTTGTGAGTCGTCCTTGCTGTGCCGTGCCATGGAAGACGTAGTGGCAGCCATGGCACAGGACAAGGTATGCAAGCGAGGCAGCGATGGCGGCCAGTCCAATACATCCACGGCTGAGTCAAGCACAGTGGTTGTTGGCAAGGCCACGAGCACGGAAAGTGAGACTCAAGCCTATGACAGGTGGAGGATGGTTCACAATATAATGGTAGATTACATTTCAGAGATGAAGTTGCAACACCCCGACCTGTGCCGATCTGTACCAGCATATCGTATCCTGGCACGCTTGGGCAATGTGCTGAGAGGGAGCCGTGTCGGTGACACTTGTTGTGCTTATAGCACACCCACATGCCGGATTCGCAGGTTTGTGTCCCACAGCTGGCATGCAGCAGCGTGGTTGAAGATCTTGAGTTTGCTATTGTTCTACAACCTCAAAGCAGCTGCCATCGCCAGTCAGGCAGCAGCATTTTTGATGATGGTGCTTTTCAGCTTGGGCAAGTTGCCCGGTTTCGTGAAGGTCGTGCGATATGACCCAGAGCCTCTGTTTCTGGCTCCCTGGAGCTCATCTACCGGGATCCTGGTGTTTCTGGCGGTCCTGGTTTTCCGGCGGCCTAAGGAGCAGGTGTTCCTGGACCGCCTGTGCATTGATCAGCGCGACCCCGCGGCCAAGGCACAGGGTGTCGTGAGTCTTGGCGGCGTGCTGAAGAACTCTGAGGAGCTGTTGGTCATTTGGGACCGCAGCTACTGCGAGAGATTGTGGTGCAACTTCGAATTGGCCGCGTTTCTCAAGGCTCACGAGGATGAAGAGACAGTAAAGGTGCGGGTCCAGCCCATATCGCTGGCAATCTTGTGCATCACGTGCTTTGGATTCAATGTCGCACTATGTTTTGGCTCCATCACTTTTCCACAAACTGGCTCTCTGTCATTCGTGATTGCCATGTTGGGTGTCTGCATCTACGGATGGATGGCTGGAACTGCCGTGATGCATCATGGCGAAAACGTAGAGACAATGCAAGGCCAGTTGCAGAGTTTCAGTGCTGCGGACACCAAGTGCTACTGCTGCTCAAAGGGTCACCATGCCCTAGATGGTTCACCCACGCCATGTGACCGCGAAATTCTCCTGCAATGCATCCAGCTTTGGTTCGGCTCCATTGCGGAATTCGAAATGTCAATGAAAGATCATGTGAGAGGTTCTTTGGCGCATCATTTGGGCGGGATGTGTTATCCCTACGGCTGGATGATAGCTTCACATCTTCCAGCCTTTTGGTTGCAAATGGATTTTGCCGCTGGCGAGTGGAACAAAGATAAAGTTGTGTCTGGATTGGGGTACTTTCTCACCGGTGTATACGGCCTCTTTGTGGTCTGCCCCTTGTGGATTTCATCGATTTATCTTTGCGTTCGATGGTCGTCCGGCTGTCATCCAGTGCTGCGCAAGCTCTTCGCAACGGCTTTTGCTGCGGGCTTGGCACTTGCCATTCAGATCAGCTTGATTGTTTTCGTGGACATGTACCCAGATACTCCGATCCTGGGAATTGCTCTTTGGGCAGGCGTTCTTCTTGTGCCCAGCCTGGTGCTTTGGTGGCGTGCTGCTTGCAAGCGATTGGCGACCCAAGTTATTGGATGCTGCAGAGTTGTTTGATTGTTATGCATCTCCCTTGCATGAGACGTACACTTCCACGAGGTGTATGTATATGACCCTCCACGAGGTGTATATATCACCCTTCTACGACGTGTATATAGATGACTCCGTTCCGCGGGAGCCCGCCCTGGTGTTGTGCAGTGGTCCGAATCCCGCAATCCTACACTTGCACGAATATTTTTTTGAATGACATCACCCCACTTGGTGTTTTGGGAGGTTCAGAACTTCCAGTCCTTGAATTCCCATATTCCCAGCTTAGCTGGGAAGTCTGGGTTGGTTTTGTGCACAGTTGCGGACATCGCGCAACCCGACTTTTTGCAGCGCGCGCGCACAAGTACACTCTATCTTTCCTGGCTGTGGCCGAACGCATGGGGCCTCTTGGGAGTCCGGAAAAGGTGAAGGAGTGTCTGTTTCCCCATCACAGATTCACCGATTTCTGTTTGTCTCAAGGGCCGATCCGTTGCTTTCAACCGACCCCTTTCCAAGGCGACCAGAGTCAAGATCGTCTTCTGGTCGCCAAATCGGGGTGCGGGGACCTTGCTGAAGCGACCCGAGATCCGGCGATCCGAGGCGCCTGGCCTTCGTGGCGGTAGACACCTGGGCGGCCACCGAATCTTTGATCCAGGGACTGGAGAGGAGGTTGCTGGCAGAGCTGCCAGGCCTCTACAGCAGGCGGCCTCCAGGGAAGGTGGGTGAGTCTCAAAATGGGTGTGGCTCAAGATGAACGACTTTGGGAAGAGCGCAGGTATGCGCAGGTTTTATTTGGTCTTTGCCAAGGTGCCATTTAAGGATATTGCAAGCACAACATCCTCACTTCAGACCGTTAAGCTCATATCAGCGCACGAGCTGTGGACTAATTTCCAGTTTGCGCACGGCCGCATTGCTGTCACATTCCTTCTGGGCATGTGTGAATGTAGGGGACCCTAGAGTTGTCCTTTCAAGCGTAAACAAGCACCCTCACAAAGACACCTTCCCTTCTCAGAATGTGTACCCCCCTGTTGAGTGGCATTTATTGGGAAGCCAAAAGGACGCCAGCTGTGCTAGCCGGATTCCCGTGAACCGCATCTGAAGTTGCCCCCTGTTTCGAGACATGTACTGGCGCCGTGACCCGGAAGGCACAATGTCATGATCGGGCCGAGCCACACCCACATGGGCCCCGCCGGCACAAGCCCGTGGCTCGATCAGAACAGGTTTGGGCGCGGCAGCTTTTGAGGGACCCCCTTTCTTGGTTGGTTTGGAAGGGAAGCCAAAAGGAAAAGAAAGGGGAAAACCAACATTTTGGGAGTGCCCCAAAAAAGAGACACCCACTTGAACCTGACCTAATGACAAAAGCGCAGAGGCTGGTGGAACTTCCCAAGGTTGGCGGACCGCGTGCCGAGGTATTATTTGTATCAGGTTTCCTCCTTTGGCTACGTGAAGCAGTCTACCCAGGCTGGGATGAATGAGTGCTCAGACAAGCCCAATGGCACCTGGCTCTTGAACATCACGCGCAGCGCGTCCAGCCATTGGGCAGGCTTTGGTCGACGGGATGACGGAGGCTGTGAAGATGGCGCACGGCAAGATCCGCCCGGCCAAGGTGCGGCTTGGTTGTCATGCCATGTGGCTTACGGCCCAGACAAAAAACGCATCCGTCAGGATGCGAGCAATACAGCAATGCAGATCTGCATCATTAGCCATGATTTCACGGTTACAGTAGTTTGGTGTCATGAGTCATGAGTGTCTGCGTCATCGACCAGTTTGGCGTCTGGCAAGTCCATATGGCTTCGAAGGCAGCGCCGCACGTTTGTGCGTGCCATTTGATGGCCTTGGAGCAATGCAGCTGCCACGAAGGTGCTTTTTGACCGCGGGCCTGTGGACAACAGCACCGTCCCGGGCTGCCCCATGCCGATCCTTCGCTGTAACTTAAAGGGAAACCAAAGGGGAAACCGCCTGCGTTGTTGGGGAGGAGGTCCCACAACACACGGCAAGGACACCACTCCAGTATCATCTTCAGCATCATATTTGGAGGAATCTTTTTTGGGGACCCCAACAAATTGTCGTTTGATTTTGGTTCCCTTTAAAACCACAAAAACAACAGGTACCCTCGAATAAACACCCATATTCAGCTCTACCACTAGTTTCATGACCATGATCACCGTCGTCATCGTCATCGTCGTCATCACTTTGACAGGGTTGCAGACCAAGAGTTGCTTCCATGGAGATTGCGGCCTTGCACTTGTTGGACTGGTTTCAGTCCGTTGTTGGTTGGATCTGACAGCCAGGCGCGCCTGACATGGACTTGATGAGAATTTTGAATGATGTCTCAGAACAGGGGACACCGTTGCAATGTGTGGCTAAACGTCTCAGGTTTTCCTTATGCTTCTTTTGATGGCAGGCTTGATCATCAGCACGGACGGCAACGACGGGCTGGCTGTGGGTTAAGCCAAGGAAACACGTTTCAATCAGGCACTGCAAGAGCTGGGTGTGTCTTTCTTTGGGTAGCCCATTTTCTGGTTTTAAAGGGAAACCAAAAATACACACCAATTTGTGTTCTTCTGGGGGAGAATCCGATTCTGGTTTTAAAGGGAAACCAAAAATAAGCACCAATTTGCGTTCCAAAAAACAGTTCTTTTTGCTGGGAGGGTCCGATTCCCAACAAACCACCCACCCGCATCTGACCCCTGCCGCGCACTGAACACATATGGGTGTGGCTCAAAATCAAACGGGAGGGGCAAACCGCAGGTTTTGGTCCATGTTTTCACTTATCAGGGCAACCCATTTTGGAATTCCGGTTTGTTGAGCCACAGCCATCCGAGGAATTGCGCCTCAAGGAACAGGAGCCCCACGTCCTATCTTCACAACCCGCCAGAGGAGCGCGCCAAGTACGACAGCGACGTAGCCGCCCGGCGCCGGCCGACCGAATGACCGACGCGCGATGACCGCCCCGGTTGGGTCCACCCCTTGCAAGTGGCAATGGGGGTGCTGGGATTCCCGGGAGGTTCTTTCACTGCATTTTTTGGGAAGGTGGGCACAAGGGCGTATACTGTCGACCCGGATTCATAAATTCGTCCTAAAGCGGGGAGGTCCTGGCTATATTCATGAATCCCCACCAAACCAGGAACCCTATTCCAAAACGTGGGCTACTAAGGTTCCAATACGGGTTGAGGGTGGAGATGACATGTCACCATGGATACAGGCGTGGGAATCCTTGGTGTGTTTTGAAGGGAAACAAACTGGACCAATCGTTTTCAGCGTTTCACGATACAAGCTCATGTACCATTTGTATTCTTGTTGCCCCATTCCTCTTGCTATTCTTGCCCTTTCCCCCCCCCCGCTTCCGCGTGTCTGCTTGGAGTTTGGCCAACCTTGCGAAAGAAGCGACCTGGCGACCTGGCAACAGTGCCCCTTCCAAGGAGGCCTTTGCAAACTCTGGTGGGACGCCAACAGCTTCTCAAAGGAAAGAATCCGTGCGCAGTCTTGCGCAAGGTCTGGCCAGGAATGTCCACTGAACAGTGCCATTTTTTTTAGATGAGACCTGGGGACGTTGCAGACATTGTTGCCAGACCCAAAGATTATTTTTTTTGGGGGGGGGCTGGGATAAACAGGATCAAAAGGAAACCATTGCCATTTTGGGGGTTCCATATCCCAATTTTGAGACAACCCCAGATCTGATCGCTCAGGAGAGGTACATGACTCTCCTCAAAATTCTGGACGCGAAGACGAAGCAGCCCATGGGCGTACTAAACTGGTTTTCTGTACATGCGACCAGCATGAAGAGCTTCAGCGGCCTGATTTCAGGCCCGGCATTTACTTTCCCCCAAACTAACATGGAAGCTCCGACTCCTTTGGAAGACTTGGTTCCATTTACAGACGCCTTCTGGGAGCTTCCATGTTAGTCTGAGGGAGTGTATCAGGTTTTCAGGAAGGAGATGTGGCTGTGGTTGTCAAAACCGTTTTGGGATCTCATTTTGGAAATGGTAGGTGAATTCACCACCCAATTTAGAACCTATTTTAGTGGGGATTGGGATGTTGACTGGGTACGGGATTTTGACCCCATGGCCATGTTGGCATGAAACATGGAAGTCAAAAACTCGATTTGTCATCACATTGCTCTTCAGAGTGCTTCAGACCTGCTGTGCAACGCTTTGCGAGGGCTGGGCAAAGCTTGACGGGGTCAGTTTTGGTTTGGAGACGGAGTGAGCAATCTTCGGCAATCCTTTGTGTTTCACTCATGAATCGCTTCCCTCAAGAGTATAGACGGGGTGCTTTGAGGGAAGTTGGAGGATGCATCGCCAGGGGACAACAAAGGCTACGCGCAGTACGCCTTTGAGCGCGCCGCTCGGCGAGTGGCGTTTTCAGGCCTCGAGGTGCCATTCCCGGGGAGATCCATGCTACGCGCACGGGCAGTTTCGGATCTGAGGCGCACATGTGCAAGTTGATTCAATGGCGGCAAGCACTTGGCCAAACGAAGCCTGGGGTTGATCAACATTCCTGGCCGAAAATGACCACCGGAAGCTTTTCCCATCAAGTGGTGAGAGCCGTTTTTGTGGTGGTTTCCCTACTGGTCATCCCATGTAAGGAACCTTTTGACAAACCCCCAAATGCTAGCAAACCTCTCCACAAGGGATAATTTTGCGCCGCCTTGCCGCAAACCGCAGCTTCTGGAGTTCGCATCCGAGGCTATCAATGGCCCCAGCGAAGTGTCGCCTGCGGGCCAGGGGCCGTTTGTGGCCGCCTTCGCCACCGGCGCTGCTGGGGACGTGTCGCCCAATGTCCACGGAAGTTGGTGCGAGGACTCAAACGGGTTCGGCGTGGGCTGTTTCCACAAACATGATGGAGTTAGATCCGTTTGCCATCCGGGCTGCATTCAGAGTTGATTAGATTCAACCATTCGAAATGCCAATCCATGGTCATGATTTTAGCAGATGTTGGTCGGCGTTTCGAGAGCAACTGGGCACTTGAACATCTACGAGAGGCTTCCGAATGCTGCGACGTTTGAGGAGACTGGTGTGTCTTGCGAAACTGCGCAATCAGCGCCTCGGCTAAAAATAATTGAGGCTTCGGATGGGCCAAATCCGAGCCTTTTGGAGCATTCGAATCGAGTGGTATCGCAGCCCTGCGCACCGACCGCGAAATTGCGAAGTTTGGTTGGGGTGGGGGGTGCCTGCCATTTCACTTGGCGTCAGTGTTTCTGCAAAGAACTCATGGGTAATATCGAAATTCGAGTCAGAACGGAACAAAATTTGGCAAGCAAACCGCCCATCTCTCCTCGCCCTTTTCCCCGCGCGTTCTCGGAGCTTGCGGAGCTTCTTTTTTTTAAACCCTAAACCCTAAGCCCTAAAGACTAAAGACTAAAAGCTAAACCCCAAGCTCCGCGAGGTTTGCTACTCCGACATCCTCCGCTCATCCTCCGGGGGGCCGCGACATCCTCCGCTCCACGCGGGTCATCGGGGAGAGGCAGTACCTGGCTGCCAGGCCGGGGCGCCCCTTCTTGGCTTGAGGGAATTTCAGAAAGACGGGGAATTTCCCTTTGGTTCCCTTTAAAGAACACCATCAAACAAGGTAGCCCCAGAAAAAAAAATGAAACACCCCATTCGAAAAGGACATCCGGTGAAAAAGGCCCCGCGTGAGGGTCCCTGGTTTCACTTTGGTTCCCTGCAACAACAAAAACAGAAAAAAAGGTGGCCTTAAAGCAGACACACGGCCCCACCCATTTCAAAAAAGACATTTACAATGTGTGAAAAGGCCCTTGAAACACATGTTGCTCACTTGGCGATTCTCGTGAGGGTGACTTGTGCTGGCCATGTGCTCTGTGCATTGCCTACATTCATAAAGCATTGGCCGATCCAGCGTGGATAGTTGTTTCAGACGATGGCAGGCACATCTTTGATGGGGCCAAGCGCAGCGTCGGACATGGCGTTGACTACCGCACGCGCTACGTAGACCTTACCCACTACGGCTTCAGATACGAGGCCACAACATCAGCCATTTTCGGATAGATGTGGACGATGTTGCTTTTCTACAGGTCAGTTTTGCATGAATCACTGCCTTCGATCAGAAGCAAGTACACATGGCTGCCCTTGCTCCAGCCCAGTATTTGTTTTTGTAATTTGCTGGGCGTTGGTACCAGTCAGATCTGCTCTGCTGGACGACTCATGTTTGCGTTGGGAGGTGAATTTGTCCAGAAGCGCACCCTCTGACATATCCGGATCATAGCCGCGGAAGCCATGGACGCTGCCTTTTCTGGATGGGTGCGTCTGTTTGTAGGGGGACCGCCCCAAATGGATTTCGGTTTTCCTTGTGGGGTACAAGAGGACACACCCGATATCCCGCTTGAGTCGCAGGATGGCACACCTGGCCGCACCTGTCCACCTGCAATGGGAACTTCTTTTGCAGCGGGCACTACGGACGGGCCCAGCAACGTGGACGACTTTGGCCAGAGCCATGTCATAGTGATGGTGCGAAGGGTTTACTGGTTTGGTATACCCAGATTACCAGATTGCTTGACTTGGGCTAGGCACTTCCAAACAGTGATAGGCCGGAGAAAGGACAAATTTGAGTGCCCAACCTCGAAAGGGCCTGGTCTTGTGAGTCTGTAAGGCCTATGTTGGGTTTCTGAAACTTGAGAAGCCCAGATATTGCTTTCTTTTTGGTTTCCCTAGAACACCATCCAAAAAGGGGTCCCCATTTCTTGATGGAATTTTAAGGGGGCTATGTACAAGTGCTGGTAGTTGAGGAACATGACGCCCACCAACGGCTTCCTGCGCTTCATGGGCCACTTGTTGACACTTCCGCCCGAGGAGGCCAAAAGGCGACTCGGAGCGGTTGAGGGCAAAACGCCCCCGGTCTGTGTTTCTTTGTTTCAGTCGGTACCCTGGGTGAGTGTCCTTTTTTTGGGTGTGTCTTTTTTGGAGGCACCTCTTGGTTGTTTTTTGTTTGTTTTCTTTTCTTGTATTTCATGAGAGTGTACGCTCGTGATCTTTTTTGCGCTCTTCGAAGGGCCAAACGCGCCCCCAAGTCTCAACTCTGGAACCAGCGGCGTTTGCCGATGTGTGCCATGTGGGCCAACCAGTGCTACTGTGGATGGACGAAATCCTGCACCACCTGAGAAACCCGGGCATCCTGATTCCGTTGTAAATACCAACCAGCAGGTGGTTTCCTATGGTTTCTTAGGTGGTGCGAAATGAATTTCGTCCAACCAATACCAGGCTTCCTGGCTGAAGGTCTCTCGGCCCTTGCCCTTGTTGCGAGGTGCCACTGGCCCAAGGACATCTTGCTCTACACCGGCAGTGCCTTGGTGCCAAACTGAACTTGCGGATGGATGCGAGTTATGGGGCGTGCAGGTTGTTTGCCTTTGCCTTGGTTTTTCTGGGTGGGTGGGTGGGGGGGTGGGTGGCTGGGTGGGGGGGCAGTGGGAATCTCCAACTTGCACGGAGTCGCGGGCTTGAAGAGTTGTCGCTCAGCTTGAGAGAGGAATGTGGTGCTCGTCTTTTCTCGGGACTTGGACCCCCAACATGGATGTCGGTGTTCCTTTTGGGTTCCTTCATAACTCAGCAAAAGGAAACGGATTCCGAGCCTCAAACACAGAGCGAAAGAGTGACACTGACTCCAAGGTAACGACTTCAACTCAGGGGTGGTTGATTCCCCCAAAATGGAAATCCCCAAGTCTCCCCCAGGTTAGTCCAAACAAACGGACCGCAGTTTCATGTTTTTGGATTCGAGGCATGAAGGCGCCCTACGATTACATGCCTTCGAAAATGGCCTTCCAGCTCCTGCGGATCGGCGATCTGGTCATCGCCGGCGTGCCAGGAGTACGAAGCCAGTCGCTTGTGGTTTCCGCTGAACGCAGCTGGGTTTGGGCCTCGCTTTTTTGCCAAGACGGGCGGTTTGCACTATAGTTTCCCTCCAAAACCATCACCAAAAGGAGTACACCAACAAAAATAACAACCATTAATCAGGTCGCATGGTTGCCGGCCGGGTAACTCAACCCAAGCGTTATTTGGTTTTGACAAGCATGACATCCGCGCTGGAGAAACTCGCCTTCCACCAGACGATTTTTGCAATTGAGTGACCATCAAAACCCGGGTAGATGAAGGTTAGTAAGGCCATAAATAGCCGCGGCCGCCTTCTTCATTCTTTACATGGTAATGTTTTCATTGTGACTCAATTGTGTTCAGCGGGGCACACCAACTTCCCGGTGGCAAGCTACGCCGCCTGAAGGTGTTGTGGTTCTATGCCCCAAATAGAATCAACAAGCAGCAACGAGCAGCTGTCAAGAGCCGCATGAGTGAAGCGTGCAGATCGATCCGTCGCAGGAGAGTTCACAACGATGGCAGGACGACGAACGGCTGAGGTGATCAAGAAAGCGTTTGTCAACAAAGGCCCACAAGGGCGTTGCCCTGTGTGCTCAACCGATGTAAATGCCATGATCGCATTTGGTTGTGTCCTTTGTGGAAGATACCCTTTTTTGAAGGTTTGGAGGTTTGAATGGGAAACCAAAAGGACAACAAAGATCCACGTTTGGAGTCCCCTACGACAAGACGCGCCCATTTGCAGCCCAAAGAGACAGCTTCCAAAGCATTTGCTTGGCCCTGGAGGCGTCTTATCGCCCGAAGGGCGCGTGGTGGTCAACAACGTTGCCAGCGGATATGTGGCTGCCTCAAACGTTGCACCAGCGCTGTTTTCTTGACATTTGTTGGTTGGTTGGTTGGTTGGTTGCTTGCTTGCTTGCTTGGTCGCTTGGTTGCTTGCTTGCTTGCTTGCTTGCTTGCTTGCTTGCTTGGTTGGTTGGTTGGTTGGTTGGTTGTTTGGTTGCTCGGTTGCTCGGTTGCTCGGTTGCTCGGTTGCTCGGTTGCTCGGTTGCGCGGTTGCTCGGTTGCTCGGTTGGTTGGTGAATGGTTGCACTTTGGAAATCTTGACATCCTCTTGATGTCAAGCCTTTTTCCTCAATACGGGCAATCGGCGTAACTTCTGCGCCAAAGTTGAGCCTTTGCGACCCAAGTCGCTGGGAGCCTCTCGTTCCCTGCTGCGATTGGCAGAAAATGAGAAATGGTATGACCCCCAAAAACCCTCCAAGTGGTGGTTTCCCCTATTCGGGAATCCCTGCTTTGACCTTCATAAACCATCCAACTGGTGGTTTCCTTTATTCGGGACTCCCCAGGATCATTCCCACCCCTCCCCCTATCGCGGCGATCGCAAGGCGTTCTTTGAGCCGAGGCTGGCTACGTCGCCACCTTCGAAGAGTACCAGCACCAGCGCTACGAGGGCGCCAGCACCGCCTACGGGCCCCACACCCACGGAGCCATGACCAACATCCTGCGGGAGATGGCCGAGGAGAGGCAAAATCATCCAAGAATCATCCAAGAAGTGAGGCCATGAATTTCAAGAGTTGGAACCACCTCAAAAGTGAGTGGACATGAATCCCCAAGGGGTCCCTTGAAAATTCGTACGGGATGCTAAGGGACGGGATGTCAACTGGGGACGATCTGAATCCTTGACCTGTGGCTTTCTGCGTGCGACACATGGTCCTCATTTGTGCTGAGGCAAATCATTGCTCACAGCTTTGGCTTGATTCGAAAGGACAGCAATGGTGACAAGGGGCTACACTTTGCATGCTTGAGGGTGGGAGGACAAGTTCCATGCAAGAGTCATCATCATTTTTTCCAAGACCTCTCCGTGTGATTTGGCCAGAGCATTCCTCTCTTATCAAGGATAGCAGCATGCACTGTGGAAAAGAAAACAACGTGAGCAGCACGTGACCAACGTGTGGCCGGGAATCAAGGAATGCGTTGAAAGTTTCGCAAGGACAAGTGTTGGACGAACAGTTGTCCTGGGTGTACGGGCTCTTGCAGCTGGGCAAAGCTTGGGAATGTTTCCAAGAATCTTTTGGGTTGCCTGATGGTCCGAATGTTTTTTCATCCAGGAAGGCCAAAAAGATCATGTTTTTTGGTTGGCTTCCCTCATTTTCAGAATCTCCTCATTTCCATAGGAGATGGCCGAGGGCAAGGTGTACCGCTGGCCCGGGGCTGTGCCGCGCATCCCCACTGAGCAGCAGCTTTGGGAGGGGCAGACGCCCGGCGAAAGAAGACCAAACAAAAAAGACACCAACCCGGGCGGCGGTTCGGTGCCCGGAACTCGGACATCAACCCCACCAGCACTAGAAGGGGGGCACTAGAAGTGTGTGTTTTTGGCGGGAGAAGAGTGTGCGTGGCTTTGCAAATGCTTCCACTTCTCAAGAGATTTCGAGCTGGACGACTCTGTGCTCAAGGCTTGTCACTTCGTTTCAGCTTGGAAGGTTTTTGTTGTTTACATCTCAGTTTGGCGCCCTTTGATCAGTTCGTTTCAGAGAAGCTGCAACACTAGCATCCTCACGTCGTGTCTACTGGGCTGGTCAGACCAATCAGTTGGTCGCAATTCTGAAGGGATCAGGCACATGAAATTTGCCATGAGTCATCAATTGGCCCGTTCAACCTAGAGGGAATCTGATTTGAATGTCAGTCAGTTGAAACAATGCTGGCAGACTGTTCAGAACAATGTGCTTGCTTGCTTGATAAGTGACAACTTATATTTGCCGAGAAGGGGTCAACCAGTATGCCCTGATTTTCTTGCTTTGCAAGCAGCTTGATCTGTCTATTTGCCCGCTACTTGTCGTGCAATCGCTGCGTTGGAGAGCACAGATTGGTTGGCAGGGGGCATACATGGGCGAGTAAGGAGTGATGTGGTCGCTGATGATCCGCCCATAGGCGGGTTGGTCGGGATGCGCATGCACTCCTTTCCCAACCAAACTTCCCAACTCTTTCACGATTGTGGCGTGCGGGCAGATGGTAAGTCAAAGCAGCTTACGTAGTAGCAACATTGCATTGGGTGATTAGGTCAGCCAAGCAAGCAAATGTCGCTGTAAACAGTCTTGTTCAAGTCGCCGCAGTGTCATGTGGGCGTTTGTGTATCATGGGGACTACTTGTTGAGAGTCCCTGCCGCTTTCGTTGGGTGCTGGGTAAGTTTCGAGTGGATTCTGTGTGCTGCTGTGAAGCACAAAATCCTCGTGCCATCTCTGCAAAGGGTCTCGTCCGTAAAGCACCTTCCGCAGGGTACGACGCTCTTTTTTTTCCCTTCTGGGACTTCCAGCTGGTTCGCGGATCCTTCTGCCACGTGGCCGGATGTTTTTTTTGTTTTTCTTCTTTTTCTTCGGTGCGAGGGCAAGGGCACACGCTTTTCCAGGCCAAGAAGGAAGCTGCTTTCCACGCGCATTTCGGGCAATCAAGTTGGCGCAGCAATATTGCAGAATTGCTGCGTTTCATGGGGGTGACGGGTTGGTTTTGCAACATAATTTGACATAATTTTGAGTGACATGATCATGTATTCCATGCAGGCAAATTTTGGCAGTTATTTTTGACTTCATGGACGGGCTGCGTTCTTTGCAGGGTAAGATCGCCACAAATAAGTGGCCGCGACTTCGATGGATTCTGTGTAGCAAGTGATTAAGTTGTTTGACCCTGACCTTTACACCAATTCAGCTTGGGCCACTGCACTGCGCAAAGCTTGACAAGATGAGAACCGTACAATTCGGCCAGTTGCGGGGGTTTGCCTGTGTCCATGGGGACAACTGTTTTGGAACCTCAATAAGATCGTGACAGGGCCCGCGTGTAGATTCGGATAGCGCGGAAACGTGAACTTTGCGCTTTGGGGTTGCGCTTTTCTTGTTCCTCGGAGTCGCGATGTGGGCAGATAGCTCTAGTGCAAGTCAAGAAGCGCCATTTGTCTCAGCATGTTAATCTTGAAGTTAGCAGCCCTCAGCCCAGTTCGCCCGAAACCCAAGCCCCAATTCCCTGACTCACCAAAACCCCAACCCCTAAAAGTCAGTTGACCCTCAACCAAAACCCGGGTAGAGTAAGGGTTCACTCCCAACCATAAATAGGTTCGCCCACCTCGGTAACTCTGCATAGTTTTGGGTTCACCATTTTTGTACCTGCCTAGATAGCCAAGTTGCTGCTTTTTTCAGTCACCGTTGCTGGTTTTTGGGGTCAAGTGGATGGAGAAAAAAAAAGCAGCAACTGGCGATCCAGGTGGTTTTGGCTACGACTCACTTGGCCCCGAAACGCCCAAGCTGACAAGTCGGACGCAGGCGGCAAGTTCGGGGACGTGAAGTCCGACGTTTGGCCCATGGTCCACGCGGGCGGTATGGCCCAGGCCCGACTTTCGGACCGTTTTTTTTTTTTTTTCCCCGGGGGGGAAGACGTCCGGAAAATGGGTCTGTCTTCCCATTTGGTTGGGGGGGATGCCATTTTTATCCGTTTTCGGGACACCATCCTCCCCCAGTTATGCCAAAGAGGCGCGTTTGGTTTGGGGTTGTCAGAAAGGAGCGCCCCATTTTGGGGGGACCAGGGGACAAACTGCGACCCAGCAAAGGGCTTACCCTTCATCCCAAGCTTAAGGCGCCCTGAAAGAAGCCCATCTTTGGGGTGATAGGTGTGTGTTCAAGGGACATTTCAAGGAAATCCTTGCCATTTGGGGTTGCTTCATGGATTTGGAAGCCATAATTTAATGCCTTGCCCCCGTGCTTTCATATTTGGGTCTTCTCCCGCTATTGGCCCCCAAAATGGTTGGTTTCCTCTTGGTTTCAATGCAGCTTCGCGAAAAGGGCCCCATTTCGACCAAAGAAATCCATTTGGAGCTGCTCTGATGGGATCCTTCCTTTGCCTCCGTTGTTTTTTTTTCCCCCTTTTTCCGGCAGGCGACCATCTGGGGAGCCCACCCCCGGAACAATTTGCGGCGAAACTCCAGCTTCGTCTCGGTCTGGCGGCTGAAGGCGCGTGTGCCAATGGCCACATAGTCCGGTTGCGTGTGCCGGTTTTTCGAGGCACCCGTTGGGTTGGCTCAAAGCGATTTCAAGGGACACCGACAAAAACACCATTTTTGTCGGGGGTTCTCCTTGCAGGGACGGCCCGTGTAAAGCCACGAAAGCCATAGTTTTGGTTGCAAGATGCTGGTAGAGCCCGCGGAGTCAGGAGGACGGAAGAACCTGGCTGCGGGTCCTGGTCTCAGCTCGTTTTCGCATCTGCGCGCATCTATTTTTGAGGATACCGTTTCTGGAGTGGTTCTAAGAGGAACGGGGGGTGGGTCCCTCATTGCGAGACACACCAATATGTGAGTGCGCTGTTGCATGGCACGGCGTACGTTTTCTAGATGCTTCACGCACAATTAGTCAACTTGATGTCGCCTTGTAGCCATGGATCGTTCTCCGATGTGTCTTTGATCTAGCAGCAGGTTTTGGCGCAACTGGCATTGCTTCTCAGCTTTGTCCGATCTCGCGTCGTCCTTATGCGATGAGGTTGCAGATGACAACGACTGGGAGCTGCGCTTTGAGTGGAAGCGAGTAGGCGGGACTCAAACATGGCTATGAACCTGGCACTCATCAGCTAGCTCTCCATTGGTGGTTTGGATTGGCGGTTTGGGACGTTTGAACCCCAGCTCCCACAATCAAAACCTGAGTAGATGAAGGTTAGTAAGGGATAGTCCCACCACACATGGGTGCAGCCGCCTTTTAATTCTTTACACGGTTCGAGGTAGACCGTTTGAATGCTAGGTTTTGACTATCACTCAAATGTGGTTGTTAAAGAAAAGCACAACAAAACAAACACCACCAAAAATCCAAAGAACAAGAAACCCCCAAACAAACCCCAACAAAGACCCAACACAACACCCACAAAAATCAATAAGGAAAAAACCAGCAAGCGAGCGACACCACCGCTTCGGCTGGGCTGGGGATCGACGTGCGACGCGAGGCATCTCGGCCAGCACGGTGACGATCACCTGGGACGTCCCCGAGGACTGCGCGGAGGGCAGCTACAGCTTGCCGGGGGCCCCGGCGGGTTTTTCTTGTTTTTCTCTCGACAGAGACCTGAGCGCGCGAAGGAATGCGCCGGTTTCGGGGGGGGGGGGAGCTCCCCGTTTTTTGTTTTGTCTTGTTTGTTTTTTTTGGGGGGGGGGTGAGGGTTGAAAAACCCGGGGGACGGGACGCCAAGCAGTTTTTCGGGGTGCAGCCAGATTGTTCAGCAGCTTCTAGTTGCCTGCAACTTGGGTAGCCCGATGTTTGCCAGTCTTGTACAACTGGGTTTCGCGCTCATGAACAGAGCCTCCCATTCAAGCAACCCAGGTACTACAGTGGCGAGGCGAAGCACCTGGGGAGGATCACCACGATCTCCGGTGAGCTTGCTCAGTGCATGTAAGGCGATCAAGGTGTGGTGGGTGTGTCGTCTTTTTTTGAGGGTACCAAGTTTAGGCTTGGTTGCTTCTGTTGGACTGGGGTTGCTCACGACTTCCGCCGGCTGCACCGAGGTCACAGTCGCGTGTTCCAGGTCGTGCGCGTGAAGCAAGCCGCGGAATGATGCATGCGCTTAGGGAGAGAGAGAGAGAGAGAGAGAGAGAGAGAGCGGGGTGTGTCGTTTTTAGGGTAGCCTTTTGGGGGTGGTTGAAAGGGAAACAAACGGACACGGGGGGTACCCTTAGTTGAGACACACCCAGAGAGAGAGAGAGAGAGAAAAAACAAAAACAACACAACACAAAGAAACACAGCTTCAAAGTGTTGCCATGTTCCGAGTTTCCGTGTATTTCCATTGCTTGAACACTGCAGAGCTGCAGTTCCTTTTGTTTGGCCAAAGAAATTCGGGCCAATTTTGGTGCCCGGGCTGATTTTGTTCCAGGGCCTGAGATCAAAACGGGAAAGCTTAAGCCGCCAGCGGAAGGCTTTCCCGTGTCCGCCGCGCGAATGGCGCCGCGGAGGTGGTCGGTCCCTTGGGCCAATTGATTTGGCCTACAGTCCTTCCCTACGGGGTGTAAGCACGGGGGTACCAGCGAGGGTACAGCCTGTACAGCGTGGTTGCATCAGAGGGCCAAGAGGCTCCGTCGGAGCCTCGTGGCTTTTTCGCGGCAACCCTGGCCGTCGAGCGGTCTCGAGAGAGTCGGTCTTTTCTTCGACTCGCGAGCTATCGCACGCCCAAAGTTTTGGCGCGCGCTTTTGCGGCCCGTGTAAAGCTCAACGTCAGTTGGATACGAACGCCGACTGGCCCCCGACCCAACTGCTTGCCGCTATTCCGCGCAACAGCCGGGCTTTCCCGGCTAGCCGCACGTTGGCTTGGGGCAAAGAGGTGCAAGTGGCTGAGCGGTGCGCCCCCTGGGATACCGTGAGGCCAGGCAAAGAGTTGAAATCATTGTTTGTCCGGATAGAGTAGGGAAACAACAGGTGACCCTCTCTGTCTCCGCTCTGTAAGGTCACCAGGAATTTTGGCATGCCACAGTATGGTGCTTGGGCCCCTTTTCTTCCTTGCTCCTCAGGGATACGACTGGGCCTGACAGCTGCAATTCACCAGGTGCCCTTCAGGCCCGAAGTCTTTCTAGAGCGTATCAGTCACCAGCCAAGTGGCGTCACTTTGATTTTCCTCAGTTCAAGGTCTGTGTTGCCAAGGCCGTCAGTTGTGGACCCTTCTGCGGCCCTCGGACAGCCGAGCCAGGGCGGCTTCTCGAGCGGCGCTCGAGCTCGGTGGCTGTGGCGGAGCTGGAGATCGCAGGCGCGTCAGATCACGCCGCGCCACCGTCCGTCTCTGGAGTTTTTGGCAAAGGGGGGGGGCCTCTTGGTTCCCCGAAACAAACCGCCAAACATGTTCCCGTGATTCCTATTTATTCATCAGGCAATGAGTTCAAGGACAGACTTAGAAGACTTCACAAGTTCTTCCTGGATTTCCTGGATTTTTTCCAGGAGTTCCCAGAACGGGCTTGCTGGTGCGACTGGGTGATGAGAAATGGCTCATGACCCCAAGAAAACCCCTCCAGCTGCCGGTTTCCCATTTTTTTCGGGGGACCCGTCCCCCTTCGTTTCCAGCGCCGTTCGCGCCGCCTTTGGCGCTCGCAGAGCCCGGAGGCCTCACGGAGGGCCGCTTCCCCGGCAGCTTCCGGCCCGCGCCGAAGCCCGGGTTCCTGCAGCGGCGCCTGGAGGCGAGAACCGCACCGCGGGCCGAGCGGCGACCGAACTGTTCACGCGGGAGCTGGGAGATGCGGGGGGGGGTGGATCAATGTGGGGTAAACATTAAAAGCTGGGATATGGGTGGATGGCTCAAAATTCGTCAGGAGATCAGAGAAAGGAGTCTATCCGGGCGTTCCTGTTTCGAGGAAACCCCCATGGTAGGTTTAAAAGGGAGACCAAAAGGAACTCTGAGCTTCCTATTTGGGGCCCCGGTGCGATTCCTAAAACCAGAAACACTCTCAGTCAATGCGGAAAATTCATGATTCCAGCGGCATAGTGGGACAATTTTATTTTTTGGCATTTCAACTTGACAGCTGCCCTTGGCACAGAGCAGAATTCACGGGACCCGAGTGCCGTCGAGATGCGCGCGGATCCCGGTCAAACTGGGGATTCCTAAAAGGAGGCCCGCCATTTTTGTGGGTCCCTCCCTCCCATTGGCTTAAGAACATGTGGTACTTCCCTTTTTGGTTTTGCAGGGAATCAAATTACTACTGGACATGTTTTTGGATTCTTTTGCTTTTTTTTTTTAAAAAAAAAAAAAATAAATAAAAAAAATAAAAAATAATAATAAAAAATATATATATACATATATATATATATATACACATATACACATATACATATAAATTAAAGCACCTGGAAGCTCCGATTCCAAGACAAGACGCCCGGGCACCCCACGACCTGAAGTCACCCAAGACGTGGCACGCGGTGGAGCTGCGAGGTCTGGGACCGACTCTGGGAGAAGGCGCAGGCGGATCTGGCGGAGCGGCCGAAGAAGCCCATCCAGGCGATGGGGGCCTTGGGGCGTGAGGTGGGGGTGGGGGTGGGTTGGTACCGACTCCCGAACGGATCCCGAAAGGTTCCGTTGAAAGGATCGGCCTTTTCGGATTCTGGGAGCTTCCGGCTGTTCGTCTGGGGGAAGGAGGTGAAACATCCCCAGTTCATTTGCAGCCTCTCTGGCTGTCTCATGCGAGCGCTTGGCTGATGCCAGAGGTCACCCTGCCGGATGGATCGGTGCGAGCGGCAGCCTTAGACCCCCGCGAGCGCATTTCCTTTGGCCGCGGCTTGCGGTCAACATGATGTCGGCCATGGGCGTTGTGAATTCCAGCAAGTGATTTACAGTAAGCAGGGCCAAGTTGCTCCTTTTTTTCAGTTACTGTTGCTGGTTTTGGGGTAGAATAGATGGAACAAATAAAACAGCACTTGGCGATCCAGGAGCATACTTTGTATCTGACATGTTGATCTGATCGAAAACCAAACTGACGCTGCATTGCGGCTGCCGGATCACCAGGCAAGCGATCGGAGCCATCTGAGGAGGCGACAAGTTGGAGCACGACCCCGCTGGAGATTGCGGAGGCAGGGCCAGGGGGATCAGCGGATCCCCCCGTACTTGTGTTTGTAACATGGTGCCCTTTTGCGGCGAGTCTGGTCCCTCTTTTTTTTTGGCGAGTCTGGTCAGAAGCGATTCGTTCCACTGGTTTAATGGGTTTTGTTTTTCAGAAAACCTGGGCCATCTATCAAACATACAGGCAAGCTCTGCTGAACCAATGGCTTGGTGAAGGGCACGACTCCCTGCACGACTCACCATGGACTTGTTGTCCGATTCTCAGAAACATGAGCTCCATCTTATATTCGCACAACCAAGCTTGTTGGCATCCCATTCGGGGCGCTCCTTCTTGGCGCCCCAGGGGGCGCCACTTTGCCGGACTCGCCTCCCATTCGTTCGGAGCGACTGCCAGGGCATCTCCAAGGGCCTGGCGAACAGCTCGGTGGTGGCGCTCGTGGAGTACTTGGAGCGCCTCGGCGACGGCGGCTTTTTCACGGGGGTGTCCCTAGAGGGAACCTCAAAGGGGGGGGGGACAGGGGGGGGAGGGCTGCGCTTCGGTGGATGGTTGCGAAATCCAGTTCGCACCACCTGAGGAAACCCTGGAGTGATGATTGCCCTGTAACTGGTTTCAAAGTGGTGCAGGTTTTCGTGCATCCACAGTATGGAAGGGGTTCTTTGGTGGGAAAGGGAAACTGCCGGGTCACCAATGTTTGGACATCGGTTTGAATTCGAGCTGGTCGACATGCCGGGGTGGTTCCGACCACGTGCCAGGTGCGGCCGGCCGTGGTAGGGAGGGTCGGGTGCCAACTCCCGAGATGTAGCTAGTTGTCTGCTTTGTAAGAGTTGGAACCCCCTCCACAACGAGATGGCAGACTTCCCCGGCAAGCTCATCCCATTTGGATGCGGAGGAAAACCGTGTGAGCTAGGCCCGTGGATGCATCCTGCGCCCCCTGCGTGGCGGCAGCCCTTGCCTGAGATCGATCCACCTCCAAGCAACCCGCTGAGCAACGGTCCGACGGTTGGTACGGGAGGGCCGTTAGAGTTGTTTCGGCAACTTAGCTGAGCAACGGTTGGTAAGGGACGGCCTCTGTTATTCTTTTTCCGGCAGCTTGAAAGGAACTGGGCACCTGGCAACAGAGAGGTTTCAGGTGGAAACCGAGGTCAGCTTGGGACCGTGTGGCCCAATTCTTTGGGGTGTTCTTCAGCGGTCCTTCGGGGGCCAGATTGGTTTTGATATGCCAAGGATGGAGAAGAAGATGAGGCCAGACTTGAGCGCTTGACCGGAGGCTACCCGATGGATGTTTGATTTCACTGTTGGATCAACTGATGTGCCCTTGCAAAGGACAATCCGACGTTTCTCAGATCTGTTCCGGAGGTGGACTTGAGATTCCTCAGGCTGCCTCGTGGCCACTTAGTTGATCGATTCTCCTCTCTTGGAGCGGGGCCAATTTATTTGGCCGATCGCTTGAGGAGCGGAGGGTCCAATGTTTTGGTTTTCTGGTCGAGATTTTGGGTGTGTCCTTGTTTTTGAGGGTATCTCTTTTTAGGTATCCTTTTGACCACACACACAGACGCATTCCTGTAAATATCAACATGACTCGATCAGAAGCTTCGGCCATCGCTTTCCTTTCGGGTCCAGCGATCGCATTCGCTTCTCACTTCGTTCGGAGCTGTGGCCTTTGAGTTTCTTCTAAATTGTATAGGGAGCAAGGGGTCTCGAAAACTGCCGCTTGCCAAAACAAAAACCTCACTGTAAAGCTCCTAAAACATCATCTACCTTGACTTTTGGTGTGCAAGGGGACGCCAAGAGGAAAGTAGCCAAACCGGAGCAAGCAGCTAAGCACTTTTCACGTTGGCACTTAACAAAGGATCAGCCCACAAAGAAAACACCGCCCCGCGCGTTTCCCGCGACGAAGCCGCGGATTCCGCGAGGAGGACTCCGAGTCCGTGGCGCAGCTTTGGGATCTCACCCGGCCGTTGGAAGGCGACAGCGGCTCGTGCTCCCAGAGGGACTTTTCGGTGTTCCCGTTTTGGTCTCCGTGTACGACAGAACCAAAAAGGGGTGCGACCCCCCCAAAACAAAGGAGACGACGCCACATATGAGGACCGCAAAATAGGTGGTTGCCTTTGGGGTTCCCTTCGTTCAACCATTCCGATTGAAAGACACCCTCAAGAAGACACGCCCATGAATGTTAGTGTTAGCGGCCTGGACATTTGGATGTTATGTAGAACGAATAGCAACCACCTCGCAGTAACGTTGCAAAACTGCGGATCTCGACTGGTTTGCTTCACTTCGACATCAAAGGCCAGAGGCAGTAGAAGACAGGTAGGGGCAGAGTTGGCTCTTATCAGCGATCACGCTGTGTGTTTCCTCCTTCGATTTGGTTGGCATGATTTGGGAGGGATGGACACTAGCAGCTTCGGCATGACGGAATAAACTTGACGAGCTTCGCATCACATGTTGGAGCAGCTGCCTTACCTGATTGACCGATTCGCACTTAGCTGCACTAATTTCTGCGAAGGAGGGGGCGCACCCTCGGTGTTGCTGCGATACCGGGACAAGAGAAGGATAGACAGGCAAGGCCAAAAAAACGCGAATTTTCGGTGAATCGAGGGGACTAGTTCCAGCCAGAAAAAAAAAGGGATCTGTACCAACCTGGCAAACACAGGCGCGGCAGAGGCAAAAGAGAGGGCAGGCCTAGATGAGGGCAATAGAAACACCATGCAGAGCAAAAGGGACAGCTGAGGGCAGCAAGATGGGAATATGTGGAGAGGGAAAGAGAAAGCTGTTGAAGCAAGAGAGAAGGCTGACAGAGACAGCTGTGGAAAACTGTGGAGAAGGCTGCAAACGAAGAAAGAAGGTGATAGGATAAACGATGCTCTTGGAGCGGTGTTGCCGTGCAAGCTGCAGACTGTGACTCTTCGGGCCTCTAAACCAAAGGGGCGTCTCTCTTTTTTTTAAATATAGGGAACCCCCAAACCTTTAAAACCACAAAAACAGGGGGGTTCTTAAAGAAAAGAAAGAAAACAGACTTGGCTGGAGCCGCTCCGGCTCGCCAGGCAGCTGCAAGCTGGAGCTGATCAAGCCGGGACCCATGGTTTTTCTCCTTTTTTTTGTCAGTTCTTGTTTTTTTGAAGTTGGAGGGCTCAAGAGTTGCATCCTGTTTGCAATTTTTGGTGCCTCTGGCGAGATTGCCGAAGCCTCGCCTGATGGGAGATTTAGATTTGAGAGGGTTTGAAAGGTTTGGGCGGCTGTGAGGGAGGTAAAGTGGGGGGTTTGGGGTTAAGTGGACGTGGTGTTTACAACAACGAGCGCCGCCGGGCAAGTCACAAAAACCATGTGTATGACGGCAGTTGCCCATTCCACGAGCAAGGGTTGAACAGACAGCAGACATATTCACGGGCATGCGGACGTTCTTTGGAAGCCTTGGGCTTTACCAGCCAGGAGGTTGCAATTGCTATCATCGCCCCCCCCCCCACCCACCCCCCTATCCCCCCCCTTCCCCGTTTTGTTGGACATGTTTGCCAGGGTGTCCCCCCCGTTTTGTTGGACACTGCGAGTGTCTCCAACAGAATCCTTGTTGCAAGCAGGTCATAACATAAAGAGGATTAACCGATCGCTGAGGTTCGACGATGACCGGGGCAGGGAGACCTTTTGGCACTCCTCCTCGCACGCCGGGGAGCTCAGGAAACTTGCGCTGATGTCCATCAGCATCCCAAGATATGGCTGTGGTGGTCAAAACCGTTTTGGGATCCCATTTTGGGTGGTAGGATAATTCTCACCCCCCATTCTAGGACCTATTTTAGTGGGGATGGAATCGGATTTACCGGGGGCTAACCGGGATTTTGACCTATGGCCATATAGCTCGGGTCGCAGACTTCCGCTTGCTGGTGTCGCATTCTCCCCCGGCTGGTTGAAAACTCATGGCTGAGAAACGTATGAGTTCAGCACCAACACCGCCGGGAGGATCCATGAACCTGCTCTTGAAAGGGGGGGTGTTTTTTTTTTTTTTTGGGGGGGGGGGGGCGACACTGACGAATCTGGTAAATCACCTGTGGATTTGTTTTGGGGGGACGCTCCAAAAGCCCCAGCCTTGCGGCCCCCGTTGAAAGCCAAGACGCTTCCCCCCCCCCCCCCTGCGGTGCGCGGTGCGCGGGGCGCGGGGCGCGGGGCGCGGGGCGCGGGGCGAAATGTGAAAGCCAGGTCTTGGGCGCGGCTCTGGAGGCCTCCTTTGGAGGGCACCTGACCATCGGGCCAGCGGCTCAAAGATCCGCCACTTCGTTTCCTCGACGCCCCCGTGGTTTCCGTCGAGGTGCTTTTGTTCTTTCCTTCCTTTTTTTTCTTCTCAGCCGTGTGGCGCCGAGTTTTTGTCCCCTTTTATTTTTACAAGTTTGTTCGGCTTTTGGTCGATGTTTGAAGATGGTGTCGGGTTGTTGCCATGTTTTCTTTTTGTTGTGAAGAAGAAGAAACATGTAGGAATGGGGCCCAAGAAAACTGGCGCCAGTTCGGGCTTCCTTTGTGCGCTCAACGGATGAAAGCCGCCAACATGCAGTCACAACGCCCTGACACACCCACTTGGAGTCTCTGAGGAAGCTCACTCAACACAACTTGGCGTATTTTTTGGTGAGGCGAGATGCGGGAGCATCGAAAAGGGACCTTGTGTATTTTGGCGTCGCACCTGTCGAAGGTGTGGCTTCAGAGAGGGGGCCGATGACGCATTTGCGGAGAAAGTTTGGGATCAATTCGGATAAGCTTATTGGGGAGGTTGGAGAGAGTGATGCACGCGGTGTGCAGTTTGCATCTGTTTGCTTTGCAGCGACCTTGTCCCTCGAAATCAAGGCCTGCGGTAGAGGGCGGCTTCTACTACGACATGTTCTTGGGCGGGGGGACTCGATCTTCGCAGCGGTCAAAGGATGAGCTGTATGGATGTGTTTGGGCCATTTGTAGAGCCCAGATATCCAGATGCCAATGGGTTGCCATTTTTTGCCGCCAAGCTGTGGGGATGCAAATGCCGAAATCCACCCGGGCAGGGCTCGGCATCAGAACTGGCCAGAGATTTTACAAGACATGGCGGGTCAAAGCATTTCTCAGCCGCGGCTCAAAGCTCATGGTCTCCTTTCAGCTTTCCTTGAAATAAAATGACCACCCTGAAGCCACTGCCCAGACATATCCCAGGAGGCACCGTTATTTTTTACGCAAGGCTTCCCTTTCTTTTGCCCAAATCGACCAGTCTAAGTCCCGTCCGACGATCCCTGCGCGATCCGAGGTGAGCAGCGGCTGTCAGAGACCAACTTCCCGGAGATCGAGAAGTCCGTGGAGGAGCTGCGCAAAAGCCCGGAGCCCATCGCGGATTGTTGGCGGTTATGGGGCCACTGGCAATGGGTGCGTTCGCGCGCGCGTGTTTCTGGAAGAGACTTGGAATCGATTGGGAAGAGGCAGCGATGCTTCCATTTGCCGAAATGAATATATTTTTTAAATGTTAGTTTCCCTTTTGTCTATCGCTGGAAATAGATTTCGCTTTTGAGCGAAAACCAGGGGCTTTAAGCAAATGGAAGGATATGGGCTCTCAAAGTAACCGGTCCATTTTCTATGGGAAGGTATTCCTTTTGGTTCAAATACCAACCAAAAGGTCTACCATTTCGAGAAACTTTCAAGTTGCCTGTCGGGGTATTCCCAACTGTGGATCTGAATACGTTCAATTGGCGACGCTGTGAACGAAACCGAGTTGCCGTGTCTAACTGGAGCAGTTTGCTTGGAGCAACGTTTCTGCGCATTCCCTCAACCAACATGCTGAAGATGTCTGATGGTTTCTCTTGAACACCAAGTATCTTGGGGAGTGATGATTGATATGAGAGTTCAACTCTTCAACCATACTCAGCTCCACTTCTTGCGGAACAGACTCTGTCTGGTTTACTTCCCGCAATGATGTCCAACCACCGCTGCTTGAAGTCACCCATGTTCTCACCCGGATATGTCAACTTATACTTCTGTGTTTCACTCCGAACTCAGATTTGCTGGCTACTTCTTGACAATCCATGGTTGGGCCTCTCAAGCTTCAAGGCACAGATGAATTCGGGGGATCCAGTTGCGCAGATCGCGTATCCGAAGATGCCTGCGCTTGTGTGCCACGTCTTTTCCAGACGCGGGTTGCTGTTTTTTGCAGAGTGCACAAGGTTTCTGCAGATCATCAGCTGGCCCTGTTTGGCTCGGCCGCGCTCCAACCGGCGACGTCTCGCGATCGTTCTTTTTTTTTTTATTCGTGGCAACATAAACCATCCCCTATGGTTTGCTTTGAGGGGATGTCCCCAGGTTCGTTGCTCTCATTCCCTGATCGCAGACGAAGCAGATCTCGGCTCCGGAACTCCTTGGGGCCTCCCCGCATTTCAAAACGGGCTTTGTCGATGTTGCGCAAATGGTTTGGTGTGGCTCTGTGGTGGCCTGTGCTTGGATTGTCCGGCGAAAGCTGTGAATCCGAGGACCAGGCGGGGCTCTGCTGGGTCCGGATTCGCTCGGTGTTTTTGGGTGTGGCATTTTGTTGGGGCCCCCAAAACTGGTCATTTTCTTTTGGTGTCCCTTGAAAAAACAACAAATCCAAGGGTTAGCTTTAAAAAAAACACCCGTTTCACGTGTTTGCGCTTTTAGGCCCTTGATGCAATGAAACGGCTGACTTCCTGCAGACTGTGTGCCAAGGGCGCATGCAAGCAACCGCCGCTTAAACCAAGGTTTAAGCAGCAAATTTGTTTAAGCCGTTACAGCATGAGCCAGCACCACGTTTGGGTGAAACGCGAACGACATTGCTGACAGGCCCTGCTGCAGACCGGCGCCAAAAAAGTTGCCACGGATCCCGATGCGCAGTGCCATTGCCTCACACCCAACACCGGCACGAGCGGGCACAACGCCATATCCTGTGATGATGGCACCACTCCCTATTGTGCTTGGTACATGGCCTGTGTGACCACTGACAACTTCACGTTTTCTGAGACCGATGAAGTCGCCTGCAAGCCCCTCTTCCGCAACTCGCCCTTCCTCATGACCCACGACTCTGGCACCGGCTTCATGGGCACACACGACATCCACAGCTCGAGCTGCAAGACGCAGACACTCAATTTCGTGGAACAGCTCAACTGTGGCCCGGCCGGGTGGCGCACTTTTTTCAACCTCTTTTCTTTTTGGGGGGGGGAGTGAGGTTCCCAGCCAAAAAGGGTTCCCAGCCTCTTTTTTCATTTTTTTTGGGGGAGGGGTTGCACCTTTTTTCCTGTTTTTTGGGGGGAAGGGTTCCCAGCCGAACCAAAAAGCGATGTTTCTGATTCTTCCTTCTGGCCAATCCGTGGGCATCCCAGGCGGAGTGCGAGCCTTTGACATCCGGTCCAAGGTGTGGTACGAGGACTGGACCCAGATCCTTTGCTGCATGCCCAGGGATGCTAGGACTTCAGAACTCTTTGCCGACTATTTTGGTTGTTTTTTCCGCATTAAGCCACTAAACGTTATTCACTTTGCCAACTCATTTGTTTTTTTTCCTTCCCGCAAGAAGCCACTGGAAGTCATCTTCTCATTTGGCAGGGGAGCGGATTTTTCGCCGAGGATCCACTTCACCCACGGGCCCTGGGTCTCGGATCAGACGGTGGCCAGCGCCATGCCGGATGTGGTGACCTGGGCGCAGAGCCACCCGGACGAGATGGTGGTGGTGGTCATCTCCCACTGCGAGGTGTGCAAGCACAAGACTTCCAGCCGTGAGGGAGGGATAGCCCCTTTAAAAAAGAAAAAAAAGAAAAACATAAGAAATTATTCTTGTTTTTTTTGTCTTCTTCTTTTTTTTTTCTCCGGTGTTTGGGGTTTTCTCATTTTCCCAAGCCCCCAAGAAGCTCGGGAACCTGGGTCCTTTTTGTTTTTCTCCCCATGCACATGTCCACATCTGAGGAATGAATGCAAATCGGAGAGTAGCAACCCTGACGCGAGTTGTACATACTCGCAGTTCAAGAGCGCTTATGAAGCGGTGGGAATGAAGGTGCAGTTCGATTGCAGCACGCTGAACACCTGGATGCTTTCTCAACCGGCGGTTTAAAAGGGCTTCGCTTTGACGGCGGCTTTTTTTTCTCCTTTTTGGGGTACCCCGGTTTGGTCTGCTTTAAAGGGAAACCAAAAGGAACACCATCATTTTGTGGGTCCCCCAAAAAAAGACCAGCCTTTTTGCTTTCATGGTGAAATTCAAGGCGCCGTAGTCTTTTTACCTGAGACTTTGTCGTATTACCTGGTTTAAGCATACCTGCTTCCTACGACTCCTCAATACCTGAATGACCAAACCAAATTGGTTGTGTGGGGATTCAAGCTGAGTCAGGCGCCCAAATGTCGCATTGACAACCTTGGAAGCCTGCTGATGCCAAGGACTCTTGATGAAGCTCGGGACTTCGCACAAATGGATGGGGGCGGCCGTGCGCTCGTGATCCCGGGCGAGGGCTACTGCGTGAACTCTGGCTACGACTCCTCCGTCACCAGCGAGTCGGCCGTGTGGCCCTACCTGCAGCAGCGCGAAGCGGACGCGCACAGCATTACGACCCCATACCAGACGCAAGCCTTCATACAGCAGAAGGGGGCGATTGTCCCCCGGTCTGCCAGCGTCAATTTGGGTGTGGCGTCTAGAGCCGGCCAGTATCCTGGCGGCGACTTTGAAGGTGTGAACTTTTTGGAGATCAACCTGGCATGCGCGTATGGTCCAACCATCGCTCAATCACTTGGAGCCACGGTGAGCTCTGATGACTATAGCCAATGCCAGAGCGCCTGTAGCTACGCATGCTCAAGGTACGATGCCTGTGAGCAGTAGAAAGTCAAGACCCGGTGACAGAAGGAAGGAGAACACGAAAATCGGCTTAAAAGTAGATGCCAGCAAAGCAGTGACGTCCCCCTTCAAGCATTTGGTTTGACTGCTTGGCTCATTATTCTGCGGAAAAGACGCAGCGAGAGCCTGGATTTGTCATCCGCTTGCCGGCAGCCTGCAAAGACAGTTGCACGGCTAGGCTTGGAAAAACGTGCTTTCGTGGTTGGGCAGGCATGATTTCACCAGAAGGCTCGGTCACGACACCAGGTAGCCTAGATTACTAGGAGCTTCGCGGGACGGTGTTTGAACCCCTCTGTCTGTTTCTCAATCATAGAAGCCCTTCAAAGAGTCTTTCCCTCATGTGCGAATATGGGACAGCAATTTATGGCCCTATTCTTGAGCCGTTCAGCAGGTGCCAGATGAATTGAGCAGCCAGCGCGAAAAACATACGATCCAACTTACCTTTGAGGGAATGATTTGGCTGATTTGGCCTTGGTAAATGGAAGCGACTAAAACCTGTGCAACCCTAGCTCAAGTTTGAGCCACAGCAGAAAATCTCAACTGCGATGTTCTGGTGGGCCTCGACTGCGTTTGGATCGGCCCATCGGCCCATCGGCTCATCGGCCCATCGGCCCATCGGCACGCGCCGACGAGAGCTGAGGCGACAGGGCCTTCCAGAGGCTGGTCATCTCCAGCTGGGCGTCTGAGATTTGATCCGATGGAAGGTTGCAGGGTTGCAGTGGGCTTCTACCCCTTTTGGATCCTTTTGGCTGGTTTTTGATGGTTGAAGCCAAAAGGAAGTTCCAGTCGTTTTTCGGGGTGGCGCCCTATTTTGAGACTGCAACCCGGACTAAGGAGATGAAGCATTGGAGCTTTTTGCCAACAACCCCTTCAAGGTGGATCTCATCCAGAGGAAGGCGCTCGGATGCGCTTCTTCGCGGAAGGAATCCGGTGGGAAGCTGGTTGCGGTGATTGCGCAGGTGACGCCTGGCACGATGACCACTGCCTATCGCTGCGGGGATTTGGTGGACCTCTGTCGTGGGCGGGCGCACCCAGAGAGAGAGAGAGAGAGAGAAGCTGTCCCTCATGCGCAATCCCAAGATGAAGTGTCCACGTCAGCTGAGTGGCACGAAGTCTTCGGTTGAACTTTGCGAGGGGGTTCCTGAAACATGTTCACTTCTACAGAATCGATTCTACAGTTGCTGGTCGCCCTCGTTTTCGTTGTCGCTCACGGAGAGCCTGGTGCCCAACTCTCTGAGGCCGCACCTGCCATCCACGGCGCGGGTGAAGGCCTTCAAGGCGACGTGGAGTCAACGGAGCCAAGGGTTCACGCGCGTGGGGCCGAAATTTGAACCACGAGGAGCCGCAAGTGGGTTTTTGAACCATCAGGTGTTGAGCTGCGATAGCTCGTGCTCTCAGCTCTCAAGGAAGGTCCGTGAATTCACAGGTTCACTGCACCAAGGTCTTCGCTCCCTTTTGGGTAAAGTTTAAACTGGAAACTCCTTTCGATTTACCAGGGCAACCCATTTTGGGGTTACCCTATTTCTGACCCACTGCCATTCGGATTTACGTTTCTCAGGGGACCCCGCAAAATGGTGGCTTTCCTTTTGGTGTCCCTTTCCACCCACCCAAAAAGGGAACCATCAAACGCCGTTTGCGCCCTTCGCGGCGGGCGCGCCGGAGAGGTCACCAAAAACTCCTCGGCTTATTGGCTGGGATCTGCGGACAACGACTCCCTGACGGGAGGCCCAGTGCGACCCAAGTGCCCCCCCCCCCGGTCCCCCCCTAAAAATGGGGCGGTTGTCCGTTGGGCGTCCTTGGAAAGCCAGCGACTCAGGCGACGGAAGGCGCAAAAACTGAATGAAGCTTGGCACATGTAACGAGGACCCCTGAACAGTGGACATGGGCTATGATTCTTGTGCAGTCTCGAAAGTTGCGCTTTCCGATTTGTGCGACTGGCAACGGAAAGGAGCCACGGGACGAAGATGTTGATGTTTCGAGTTGCTGGGCCTTCCTGGGAGCATACAAAATGGGTTGCAAAGTGGCTCGCCCTTTTTTAGGGCTAGCCTTTTTGGAGGTGGGTTGAAAGAGAAACCAGAAGGAAACCAGCTATTTTTTTGGGGGGGCTCGCCATAGTCTGAGACACCACCCAAGCCCTCCAGCCGCTCTCGTGCCGCTCTTAGGCAGCGCGTCTATGGGGTGTCCTTTCCCACGGACAAGCTGCTGAAGGCCGGGCGCAGGCGCAAGCTGGAGACGTTCGTTGCATCAAAAGAGCAACCCCTTGGAGGGAACGCGGCTGGGGTGCGGCTGAAAAGTAAACTTGAGAGCTGGGGGCTACGCAGGTTTTTTAGTCTTGGTGTCCATGTACCAAGGTGCCATGTTGGGTACCCCTGTTTGAGCCACAGCCACATGGGGGGTGACCAATATTTCCTTCGGCCCGCAGTTTTGACCATGGTGGCAACTGTTTCTATGTGGGAAACATTATATTTTTGGTGGTTTCGCTGATGGTCACCCGACGTAAAGGACCTTTGAGAACGAGAGGTAGCGACGGGGGCCCAAGACACGAGAGAGAGGGGCGCACGAGGGAACAAGAGGAGGGAAGGGAAGGAACTTTAACCTACATGCAGTCAGGTTGCCAGATGTTGGTAGCGCGAAAATGGAAGCCAGCTTGAGAAACGGAGCAGATCCCACTAAAACATCGCTAAGCACCAGACTCACCCCCAATCAAACCGTGTTCTCCCCGGCCTAAAATGAAATTGGATCCTGTGTTAAACAGGCAAACGCGCCCGCTTTTTCCTCTTAGGCTCCAAGGCGCTGTTTGAGAAGTGACATTTGTTTGTTACTTCTACCGCACGGGCGGACAGAAGTAGCCGGCCCCTCCCCCGCCCTTTTTTTGCCCCCCAGCCGCAAGAAACACATTGCAGAACCACGCGGATGTGCGCGTCTCTTTTGTTTTTGCGTCACTCGTGGAAGCGGGCCACCTGTAACCCTCGAATTGGTTTGGGATTTGATCCCCTGGCTTTTGCAGAGGGTAGATGGCAAATCACCCCACACTGGCAAGCCAGAGAACACAAACCGCAAAAACCACGAACAAACCACACAGCGCAACGGCTCCAAACCACAAAACAACGGCGGAGGTGGATAGCTCGCCCCGGGAAACAAAACGCTGCGAGGAGCCCGCTCGGGCGATGCGCCAGGCTCACTTGAAGCGCTTGGAGGAGGCGAAAGAGCGGGACCACCGCCGGGCCAGGGCACCCCAGAAAGACGCAGTCGGGGTAGAGACGTGGAGAAGGTGTTGCCGTTTTAGGGAAAAGACGCTGACTAAGGCCATGTGAGACATGTTTGAATTGAAATGAACTTTTGGTTGAATCAAGGAAGCAATGCTCCTTTTCCTTTGGTCTCGTTGGGGTATCCTGTACACGGATCATGCTGAAGGCTAGCTGATTCGTCAAGCCCAGCTGAGGTGGGAAAGCAGCAGGGGCACAGCCCCCAGATGGATTGGAGCATTTGGAGACTGGAGCGGATTAGGCTTTTCGCCTGGCTCTGCGGAAACTGATGGCGGGTCCAGCCTTGTGCATGAGTCAATAGCACATTTGTCAGTCCTTGAACCTCGACACAATGACTTGAACAGGTTCGGCAAGCTTTTTTTTGACACCATGTGCTCGGTGGCACTTTGGCCGCCAGTCTGCCACTTGGCGAGGCTCTTTTTCTTTGACGCGGTGATGTCGTAGCGGCCTGAAACTGCGCCCGCGCACCTGAAGTCGCAACCTCGTTGTTGAAAACTCAAGGCTCCCTTCAGATTGGGTGCAGGTCAAAATGGGGAGTTGGAGCCCCAAAATGATTGGCTTTTAGTGACACGGAAAAGACTCAAATCGCTTGGTTAGCGCCGGATTGCCTGGCTTGCTTGAGGCCAGGTTCCTGCTTTTGGACCAGCTACGGGTGTGCTGCCTCAGAGCCGAAGCTGGGCGACGGGCAAAGCGGTGGGAAACGTGTCATGTGCCCCTTCTTTCGTTGGTTTTTTCAAGGGAAGCCAAATGGCCATGGGTCAACACTGTTGTGGGATCCCACTTTGGGGTAGGTGAATTCACCACCCATTTTAGAACCTATTTTAGTGGGGATTGGTTGATGTTCACTGGGGGCTAACCGGGATTTTGACCCACAGCCAAATGGAAACCAAGCATTCAGGGGGGTCCTCTAAAACAAGAGGCACAGAGGCTACCTAAATGGGTGGTTTGGGGATTTGAGTGCCTGGTTCTTGCAGGGGGGCAAACTTCGCAGGCTCCAGTACCTCAGCCCCTCGCAGGGCGGAATGTGGTCAATTCAGCTTGATCTGTGGCTTGGTGATGTTATTTCGCCATGCGGTGGGGCTTCTGCGTGGGGTATGAAAGGTCGAACGGGGATGGCCAAGCGACCCAGAGCGCAGCCTGGAGCTGTGCCAGCGGCCGGCCAACCTCAACAACCCATATGGATTTGTTCCTTTGAGGCTTTGTCCCTTTTGTGCGGCTAGAAAAGGAGGACCAAGAGGACGGCCGCTTTGGGGGTCTCTCAAAGAAGACGAGCCGCCCAAGGATCCCCTCCCCCCCCCCCACAACGAAAAGGCTGTGGGCCAAAAATGGGTATCCAAAATGGCTTGCCCTGATAAAAAAAAATGAAGCCAAGGACTACAACCTGTCCATATGCTAGTGGTTTAATGTTGACCCATGCCGAACTAGGGCGAGAGACCTGCGGGTTTCCCTTTGAAAGCCTCAGCCACGCGTCTCCAAAGTCGTATGCAGAGGTCCCGGCTCTACAACCGCCTGCAGGACCTCATGCGTGCCGAGCCCGGCCCCGAGAAGGAAAAACAACGAGGAACCCGAGCGAAAGGAACGGAGCAGGTCTTTTGGGTCAAAGCCTGGTGAAAGTTTGGTTTGGGGACAGCCCGCCTCCAGACAAATGGGTTTGGAGATTTGATTCGGTGGACTCCTTCCGCACCAAGGTAGCTATAATGACGCGATACCTCCGGTTCC